CCTTAGGCCTTTTGCAGCACTGTCAGGGGGAGGGATTAAAAAAATTGTGTTCTTCTTTAAGGATTTTTTGGTGAGATTCACATAAGATAAAATCGACCCTTTTAAAATGTACACTTCAGTGACTTTAGCTCGCTCACGCCTGGGGTGACTTCTATCTAGTTGGGAAGCATTCTACCCTCCAAGGGTCCCCACCAGGGTCAGGTGCTCCCACTCCTCCTCCCGCCCCCGGCCCTGGGCAGCCACCAGTCAGCTGTCCAAGGCTCTGCGTGACGGACAGGTCATGTGAGTGGAATGAGCCCTGCGTGGCTCTCCGCGTGTGGCCCCTCTCAGTGTCCTGTTTCCCAGGTGCATCTGAGTTCCTGCCTGTCTGTCCTTCATTCAGCACCTTTTGAATGCCAGGCGTGATCGTGCACAGAGAGTCCATACAGATCTGATGGAAAGTGTGAGTCCGCCTTTGGGCTGCTGTGCCCGTGCTGTGTCCCTCCTTACGTGGTGTTGAATACCTGGGCTCAGATTTGGGTGAACATAGGAGAGGAATTGCCGGGTTGCTGGGAGCCATTAGCCAAGTAGGTATGACAATTTCCTTGCCAGCGTACCCCATGTTGCTTAGTGGAAGGACTCGTGGAAATAGGACATTTTGCAGTGACATCGCAGTTAGGTGACCTTGCTCAAGGACCAGGGCGGATCCGGGATTAGGGTGTTCCTGGTTTAGGATAATCGGGTTTAGGGCGTTCCAGGTTTAAGATTATTCCTGCTGGGAATAGGGCGTATCCTGCTGCCTGAGTTCCCCTTGAGTTCTCACGGGATTCAGACAGTATTTTTTGGGAGACAGAAGCCCAGTGGACGTGGATTTGGGCAGAGAACATGGATTTCGGCAGAGAATGTGGATTTCCCCAGAACGTGTTTGTAGACGGCTGGTGTGAGTTCGGGAATAAAGAGTTGCTGTTTGAATCTACAAGCTGTGTGGTGGCTCGTGATTGTGTGCCCAGCCAGACTGCGGCATTTGTGCCCAGCCAGACTGTGGCACCGGGTCACGCTGTAGTTGCTCAGCTTTTTGAAGAACTGCCAGACTTTTCCTGTTCGTTGTAACATTTCCACTGTCAGGGTTCCCATTTCCCTGTCTCTGCCCTAACACTTATTCCCACCAAGTATTAGCCGTCCCAGTGGGTGGGTGTGTGTTTTTTAATGTTTATTTTCTACTATGGAATGCTGCATAGGGTCCAGCATGCTTTGTGCAATTTGCTGTGAGCTACATGTGGTTATCTAAACCTGAATCAAAACTAACTTACCTCCAATGAAATGAAAACATCTGTCTCTCTCTGCTGCTCTCTCTCTATAGCTCACATGGCACAGCTGTGGGTAACTTCTGCCATCGCAGAAGTTCATGGGGGGCAGTACTGAGGGTCCCTCCCTTGGAAGGCAACCTCTCCTGTATTTCCTGCTGGGTGAGGGTCTCCCAAGTGCGTTGCCAGCCCAAACTTGGAGGATCCCAGGATGGCTCCAGATATGGGCACGGAGGGCGTGTGGGGACAGACGGCAGGGGCCCAGCTGCAGAGGGTTCTAGTGGGCGGCTCAGCCCTTCTGAGTTGGACTCTGTCTCACCTGCCAGGCTGGCTAGCAGGGGCGTCCCCATGGCTGGCAGGACCAGAAGCCAGGACCCTGGGGCTCTAAGGAGAGATCAGTGCTCAAAGTCAGCCTACCTGGGGCCAGCCCCCGTGTGCAGCTGCAGCATGTGGGGCCTCCCCTGGGAGTGGCTGGAATAGCGCAATGGCTATTAAAAAAGAAGAAAAAGACAGTCTTCATAGGCAAAATTTCAAATACTTTAAAGCTCTCCCAATTCAAAGACCGCGGAGGGTGCGTCAGCTGTTTGTTACGGCCACGCAGCTGGCAATGGCTCCCTCCACATAAGCTCCTGCCCCTACTGTCCGCACCTGAGAGGCCACTACTCTCTCCTCCCCGCCCCCCAGCACATCTCCACTTATATGGATTTGTCTCTTCATCTGCACCACAGCTGCTCCAGGGGCCACTGCAGATATGCTCGAGAGCCTTGAGGCAGGACTCAGGGACCTGATCCATGTTCCAGTACCAGGTGTCTTGAACATCAGGAGTCCTGTGTGTAGGTGACAGACACCTATCTGGAGCCAGCAGAGGGGAAGACTCGGGGCTCTTCACCTGTGTCATTGGCACACATGAGATGGCATTGGCTGGCTTGGGGACGTGTCACTCTGCTTCTCTTGGTACCTTGGGCTCCTGGGTCAGAGGATTTCTCCAGGAGCGGCCATGTCTTGTGAGTGGTGGGCAGTCAGGCCTGCAGCCCTCAGGCAGGAAGGGCTTCTGTTTTTGTTCTAACCTAAATGGCCTGGAAGCATCTGATTGCCAGACAGCAGGGGTGCCTGGGTAGGTGACCAAGCCGACCCCAAGCAGCTGATGTGGCTGGACTAGGAGCCCCCCACAGGACGCTCCATCCCGTGTGCAGTGATCAGGCGGCAGGATGGAAAACCAGGCTTCACTGTTGACTGTAAAGCTCTGCTTGATGTCCCCGAGGACCGCTCATTGGTGTCAGTGTCACCCCAAGTGCAGGCAAACCTTCAATCCCTGGTTGCCCCTTCCTTGGATCTCGCAGGAAAAGTTGGGCCCCCTAGGCTTTGCCCAAGTGCTGGGGATGGCAGGTCTCTGGTGACCTCTCCTGCCCTAGTCACAGGAGGGCCGAGCCTGGCCCAGGCTAAGCATGGGCATCAGCCAGAGTCCTTTGGCTTCCTGAGGTCACCCCATTTTTTACTTCTTGAATGGCCACGCCTTGGTTCTGCTAAGGAGACCAGCAGACCTGGCAGGAACATTGGCTGGGGGCCTGCATTCTCTTGGGGAGACGTAGGAAATAAATACAGCAAAAGCAATCGGCAGCGGAGGGCAGCAGGGCAACGCAAGGCGCTGAGGAGCCAGGCAGCCTCCCAGGTGGCCAGGGCGGGCACGCCCTTGGGGGCAGAAGGCATGTCCTTGGAGCCAGGCCAGGTGGAACTGGGACAGGAGGGGACCAGCACCTCCCACTCCTTCAGCAGGTGGGGGCTGGGAGATGGAAGAGGCATGTGAGTGTCAGGCAGGGCAGTGGTGCTTACCTCTGGCTCGTCACCCCTTGCACCGTGGTGGGAGTGCCACACACACAAGTAAACTAGAAGACAGTGCTGCCTCCGTGGATCTTACAGCTGTCCCAGCCCAAACTGCCTGGCACCCCGGGTTGCTCCTGTGCTGTCAGGTGTGCTAACTGGGGCCACTCACCTGAAGAGGCCAAGAGTTTCCACATGTCGGAGCTCAGGTCAAGTTCAGATGAGGCTGTGTGCGAAGGGCCAGCCTCAGGTCTCTGCAAAGTGGACCTCTGAGTTAAGATGCTGTGGTTCAGGATGTCCAGAAACTGCCTGCAAGGGGTCACTCTGGGCTAGAACCCTGGCGGCCACTCCAGTCACTGCTACCACGGTCCTCCAGGGAGAGCCGCTGGGTCATTTGGACCCACAGAATTTCAAACAGCAACTTTCTGCTGGTGGGTGACTTTAGAGAGCAGAGTCCTCCGTAGGAGAAGGGTTGTCATTCAAAGGGGTCATTATGGAGAAGTCAGTCCTGCTCCTCCTTTTCCTAGCTTTTCAGTTGGTTTTATCTGTCACCCCAGCTTGGTGAGTAGCCAGGAAGGTGTTCACAGTCGTCACTGATGCGGCCTTGCTGTCCAGAGGGCAGGACAGGATCTAGGATTCAGTGTGAAGTGCTCCAGTGGCAGCAGCATGTGGAGGAGGGCGTATTGGAGGAGGGCGTATTGGAGGAGGCAAGGAGGCCATTACCAAGGCCCAGCTTGAACCACCAGGTCCTTGGGAAGTGAGCAGACCAGGCCATATCTTAGAGGTAAAGCAGATTTAGTAATCAAATTGGGAGAGGAGGAGGCACCCTCCAGGTCTCTTGTTGGGCCATGGGAGGTGGCTGGAAGTAAACAGGAGATGCAGTCTAGGGACTGCTAGGCTGACCAGGATTGCTAGGCTGAGTGTGAGGTGCCTACAGTGGACCTATGGGGTCAGAGTCCAGGTGAGCAAACCTGCTGGTTAGTGCTCAACACAGAGGTAGCGGGGGAAAGGGTGCTATCTCAGGAGGATGCAGGGGGTGGAAAGAGGGGAAGGAAGAAGCAGGAGGAGTTGAAGCCAGCAGGACTGGGAGAAGATGGGAGCAAGGAATGAGCACCCCAGAAGCCCAGGAAAGAGCTGAGGAGGCAGGAACGCCCAGAGGCCATGCTGCATGCCAGGGCTCAGTGCCCCTTGGAGTCAGTGACAGGGTCCCCAAGACAGGCTTTCAGTAGGCTTAAGAAATGGGCAGAGGGGAAGAAATGGAGGCTATGTGTCAAAACATTTTGGGATGAAGGGGTGGTGAAGCTGAAGAAGGGCACACACAGGTCAGGGAGTGTTTACCAAACTGTGCCACCGGGAGGAACTGGACAGATCCTGTCCTGCCCTCTGGACAGTGAGGCCACATCGGTGAAGACTGTGAACACCTTCCTGGCTACTCACCAAGCTGGGATGATAGATAAAACCAATTGAAAAGGTGGAAGGAGGCCCGGGGACGGCTCTAGGTCGGGAAGGAGCCTCCCTCAGGACCAGCAGGGTGGGGTGTCGAGGACAGGGGACTCTGTCTTCGGAGGCTAGCAGAGCAAGGTCCTCAGCTGGGTCCCCTTTTGGGTCTCTCTCCTCCCGGGATTGTGCTCAGCCCCCAGCTCAGCCTCGCTCCCTCGCCCAGCTCCTCCGCTCCGCCCCGCCCAGGGCCTCTCCTCCCCAGCAGCCCCGCGGGCCGGGCACTGCCTCTCCTTGCTAGCCAGTTCCCAGTGACCGCCCGCAGCCGCTCCTTCCTGCGGACCAGGTCCACGGAGCCCGGCCCCGCCCACACCGCGCCCCGCCCACTCCCCTGAGACGCCTCGCCATTGGCTGACTTCGTCCCTGGGCTCCGCCTCCAGATTCTGCTTCCTGGATTGGGGCACTCGACCGCCTGTCCGCGCCGTTGCCAGGGAACAAGGCAGGGGAGACTCCCCCGAGCAAACCCCTGCTACCGGACCCACTGGACCCCCGGAAGGCAGGCGGGGTCCTTCAGGTCGGTGAGCTGAGCGGGAGCGCAGGCCGGGCTCTACTGGGGTGCGGATGCGTGCGGAGCGTGTCCCCAGTGGGCCTGAGCCCTGCCGCTCCCTGAGTGCCCGGGCCTGTCCAGGCCCCTGGAGGGTGCCCGGGGACAGCTCAGAGGGAGGGAGGGCCTCCGGTGTGGTCCTCTGAGCACGGAAGCACACTGGCCTTCTGCCCTTTGTGCGATCAGATAAGAAGTCCCTAGAAGTGCCCTCCCCGTGGTCAAGGCCAGCTGTCCGGAAGGGAGAGCCACGAGAGAGAATGCTGGCATTGACACAGGAAGGAAGCGGAGCATCTGTGGAGGCAGCACGAGTGGGGATATATGGAGGATGTGCGGGGATCTTCTTGGCCTGGAGCCGATAACTGAAATTATAGCTTAGGAGAGGAAAGCAAAGTGCCCCCAGGACACGGCCCTCTGAGCCCAGGGTGGCGGGAGGGAAGCCAGCCTTGGGCCAGAGGAACGCCTTGCTTGGGCTCAGCTGCCCCTTGCAGAAGGGGTGCTGGACTCTGGGCATAAACAGGACCTAAGGTGGGTGGGTTCTGATGGAGTGGTTGGAGTGTGCCCAGAAAGGGGACAGGGAGAGCCGTGTTCATGGCTTTAAGGGTGATGGCTCCTCAGAGGTAGAGGGTTGGAGGTTGGCCGGCCAGGGTGGAGCCTCCTCATGATGACAGGACTGGTCCTGAGAAGCCTAGAAAGGAGTCCACAGAGCGTCCTGGGACACCAACAGGAAGTGTGCCCAGAAAAGGCCCCGTCGTCTCTCTAGCGAGGCGTGGGATCCCGCTGCGGTTCCTTAGGGCAGGACTGCTTCCCTTGTTCCCAGACCAAGACCCCAGGAGCTGCCTCTGCTTGTCTCGGGCCCAGCTATTCCCGTCTTTGGCCTTCCCCGGTCCCTGGATTGCTTTATTCAATCCTTTGACCTTGTGTTAAATCATTCACTGATGGTTGTGAGAGCACGCCAAGCCAGGCTTCATTCAAGAGCCTGGCCATAGGTACAGGGACATGGCAGAGGGGGCAAGATGGGGGTCTTCTCCCATGGGCAAGTGGGAATTTACAGCCAAGGAACAGGTAGGGGTCAGTGGACAGAAAATGACCAGAGGCAACATCAGGAGGGAGGGGGATTCTGGCTAGCCTGACCTAACCAGGTTTTTGCAGAAGACAGGCCGGGGTGATGAGCTGTTACCCAGGGGTTGGTGGAGGATGAAGAACCTGGTTAATTAACAGGGATAATGGGCTATGAGGATAGGGTCCTCGTGAAAGGTGGATTTTTACATGGAAGAACACAGATAGGAGCAGAGCCTGACTAAAATTTGGTCAAGCAAGCAATCTGTCACCTGTGGGCTACTGGACTTTCTTCCATTTTGATTAAGGGTTGAAAAGAGCTTAGTGACTTGTCCCCTAGTCCTCATACGGAGTGTTGTGATTTGAACTCAGATCTTTGCCTATGCTGTAACGGCAGGGCCTGGAGTCCCATGCAGAGAGGGGCAGGGTGTGAACCAGCGTCCTGGGGGTGGGAGGGACACCATCCTGTTGGCCCCTGCTCACGTCCTTGAAGCCACAGCTTCTCACCTTCAGCCTGTGGGCTTTGGGGCCGGATGGCTCCCTGGTGTGAGGGCTGTCCTGTACGCTGTAGAATGGTCAGCAGCATCCTGGGCCTCCGCTCACCAAATGCCAGCAGGACTCTCTTCTCCCAGTTATGACAACCCAAATGTCTCCCATCGTTGTCACATGTCCCCTGGGAGAAGAAACCACCTCCAGTTGAGAGGCCGCAAGCTTCTTTCTCTTAAGAGGATTTGACATGGGTCAACGTGGCAGGACGGTGGCTGTCCCACATACCAAGGTGAACCTATGAAAGTCTGATGAGAAAGCTTGTTTGGGACTAAAGTTCGGGAGCTTGCATTTGGAAGGGGCATATCAGAAGCCTTCTTTTCCTCCCAGACACTGTTGGGAGATTTCTGTCCTGTTACGTTTGTGGTGAGAACATTCAAAATCCACTCTTCTGGATATTTTGAAACAAACGGTTGCTGCAATCATCCTGCTGTGGGAGGCCACCTTTTGGGTCAGCAACGTTATATCTGTTGGCCAACCTCCCTGTGCACACCCCTGACATTCAGTGGGTGTTTAAAAGTTGGTACGGTGCTCCCTCTCCTGGTTGAGCCCTGGATTTATTTATTTATTTGTTGTGTTATTTATTGGGGCTTGGGTGTGGACGTTTGGCCTGCCCCCTGGCCCTTGGGGTCTCCTTGGCATGGCTGTGCCCTGGGGTGGGACTCCTCTGAAGCAGCCCCTTTGCCTCAGAGATGGGGCCAGCTTCCAGCCACTGGACACTGGGCCAGGCCGGATGTTTTCCTTCTTGGCTCTTCTGCTGTTGTGAAACCTGAGCAGAAGCATTTAGATCAGATGGCACGTGAGTGGCACCGCACACTGGGCTGGGCGACCTTCCCAGCCTGCCTTGGCAAGCCCCGCGAGTCCTACTCTGGGGAGGCACCCCCCCAGGCGTGCTCGTGCGGGTGTGTTAGCAGTGAAGCTGGTCAAGGCAGGCCCCCCGCGGACAGACGACCTCAGTCAAAAGAGGACCATGGCAGGGACATGGAGGACTTGCGCTTTGCAGGGGACTGTGAAGTGGAGTGCCGTGTGGCAGTTCCTCCGAGTCAGGGTCACCTTGGGAGCCAGCAGCTCCAGGGCTCGGTGTCCACCTTGGGACTGTGAGAGATGGCTGGATCCGATGCGGGCTCACCACGGCCCACTCACAGTGGCCAAGAGAACATCAGGGCCCGGCTGTCCCTGCACGAGCGAGGACCTGTTCACATGGTGAAGTGCCAGTTGGCCATAGGAAGGGGTAAAGGGCAGACACCAGTCCTGGCTGGGTGGCAGGACAGCAGGGCGCTGGGTGAAAAGTGGGAGGTGGGGAAGCCCACGTGCTGGGACCCGCTGGGGGACCATCCAGAATGGGAGCCACAGGGGCAGAGCTGTGGTTGCCTGGGCTGGGAAGTGGCAGGAGCGGGGTGCCCCGGGGCTGATGGGCGTGCCTTGGCACCCACAGGTGGGGGCCCCCACAGGTGGGGGCTGACGGCATCGTCGATGGCCTAAGTGCCCCTGGATCGTTCTCCTTAACACGGTTGGCGTCGCGTTGTGGGGCTCTCACCTCAATAAAAGGAAAGAGACCCCTGGGCACCCACCTTTGGCCGTCACATCTTGATGGGGACACTCGTCATGCTCCCTGCTGCTGGGATGGCCTCCTCCTGGCCCAGCCTCCTGGGAGGTTGCTTCCTGTGGCACAGACCCCGCTTACCAAGTTGCCTGCGCTGGTGAAGGGTTTGTCACCTTGGCGGTCTCACCAATGCAGTTCCCAGGAAGCCGGGACAGGGGATAAATGTCACGGACTTCACCTTTCAAGAGGTGTTTTCCTCTCTGTGCTCTTTTTCTTTTTTTGATATTTTTTAGCTATAGATGAAAGCAGACCTTTATCTTATTCATTTATTTTTATGTGATGCTGAGGATCCAACCCAGTGGCTCACATGTGCGAGGCGAGTGCTCTGCCACTGAGCCCCAGCCCAGCCCCCTCTAACTGCTCCTTTTATGGACCCCCCTGGCACCTGGCTTCTTCCAGGCCTGTGACAATGAACCAGGCCCCCGGGTCACCTGCCTTTGGGTGTCAGTATCTGCCCCTCTGACACCTCAGATGAAAGAGGCCTGTTGACTGGGACCTGAAGGGCCCGGCCACACAAGGCACCGTCCCTGCCCTTCGCTTTGCTGACCCAGTGCATTATCACAGCGATCCTCTGGGCACGGCTGGTGCCAACTATTAATGTCTACCACATGGAAGCCCCATTTCGAGGTCCAGTGCATTTTAGCTGCGTTTTCCAGCAGAATTGGCACTTATCGGCTGGACCCAGAGTCGCCACTGCCTCGATGATTACTTTGACCTTTCCCTAACTTGTCTCTGTCCTTCTGCAGAGAACCCGCTGGGTCCCAGGAGAGATGGGGAACAGCAGGAGCCGCGCGGAGCAGAAGTGTTACTCCCAGTTCCTTCCCGAGGAGCAGGCGGAGGTCGATGCGCTGTTTGACACTCTGTCGTTGGACAAGGACAGCTCTGAGGCCTTGCCCAGGTCCTTCTCACTGCAGGCGCTGAAGGCAAGGACGGCTGCTGGCACCCGTGCTGAGCTGGGCCCAGGGTCTGTGCACCCTGGTCCTGGGGCAGAGGGGAGCACTAAGGAGTGGACCCTCTGAAAAGCGGAGGGCTGCGTGGTGTCCCTTGTGGCTCCTCTGCCCTGCCTTGCGGAGCAGCCATTGGTCACATCTAAAGGGTCCCTCCTCTTTTGTTGAGGTCACTATAGTCGTCTTTGTATGGAAGAAAGGAACTAGGAGTAGATGGGAACTTCCACAGAGTTTGGGGCGTTTCTAGCCTGAGCTGATGTGGGGCACGGGGAGCAAGGGGGGCCACTGCCTCCTGCCCTGGAGCCGAGTCTCCTGGCCGCCCTCCCCGACACAGGGTGGCAGCTGGGGACAGGGCTGCCTCAGTGCCTCGGGTGTACCTGTGCCCCTTACAGTGCTCCTGACGCTGTACTGAAGACTCACGTTCCAGGGTCTCCTTCAGGGAGGTAAAACTGGCCATTTCCGTAGGACCCTCAAGTGCTCAACCTGGGCAGGACAGTGACCAAAGACTGCATTAGTGCGTCTCCCCGGAGGGGGGCAGTGTGGGTCTCATGGGCATCGGGCCCACCCACATTTTGCAGACGAGGAGGCTGGCCAGGGAGGCTTTGGCGGCTGCAGTTCATGGCGCAGCCCACGTGTGTGCCTGTGTGTCTCCTCCAGACCAGGAGCACCCAGTGGGCCTGGGCACATGCGGATGGAGCTGAGAGGACCAGGCAGGCCAGGACCTGACCGTAGTGGACGGCTGAGGTGGTGAGCCGTAAGAGCTGACCTTGGCCACTGAGTGCCATGTCTGGGGAGGGCCTAGAGTGCCCTGCGACAGAACTCTGGAAGTGGACAGAAACAGGAGTCTCCTGAGAGCGCCCAGGAGAGCGGCAGGCGCTGACGCCGTGACAGACGGCTCGTGCTCCTGGGGCTGGTGGGAGCCCCGCACTCCGACCCTGCGCTGGACCCTGTGACTCTGTTCATGACTTGTGCTCTTTTCTGCTTGTTTGCCATCCCTGGTCAAATCACATTTGATGTTGAAGCCAAAAAGAAAAACAGTATTTGTACAATGACATCATTAAAGTGCTGATTGAGAAATCCAAAGTCTAGTGGAAGTGATTAGAAAGGCATCTTGAGCACAAGAGTTGGGCTAGTGCAGCGGACCCAGGCACTCGGAAACCCCTAGCGTGGAGGCCAGATTGGCCCTGCACAGACGTGCCTCGTAGGTGAATAAGCTCAGATGTGGCAGCACAAGGCTCTAACCAACATGATCTCCTAAGGGAGTGACAAGCAGGAGGAGTGATGGGCAGAAGCAGGAAAGACGTGGCCAACCGGGGACACTGGACAGTATGGCAGGCAGGGCAGGAGCAGAGTGGAGGAGTCTGGTGGCCAAGGCAGCCGCGCGCCGGGCCCTGTGAGGGTGGGCCCTGGGCAGGGGGGAGCCAGCTGCTGGGAGCATCAGGGTCCCAGCCCCCAGCTTACTGCCCTGGGACACTACCAAGTTGACCTTGTGTCCCTCCAGCCCTTTCTCCCACTTGTCCCCAGCAGAACCGCATTGGGGAGGCTCTTCCCCCAGAGATGGTCACCAGACTGTATGACGGTATGCAGAGAGTCCACCCGACTGGGAGGGCTCAGGGGCCCAGCAAGGGCGTCTCTCAGGAGCAGTTCACGGTGTCGCTGTCCCACCTGCTGAAGGGCAGCTCTGAGGAGAGGAGTCTCATGATTCTGAAGATGATTTCTGCCAAGGAAGGTCCCGTGAAAGCCAGAGACCTCCAGAAGGTAGGGGACGCAGGCCCCTAAGTGGTCTTGGCCGTGGGCTTGGAACTAGGGTGGGGACTTGGCTGAGATTTCTGCTCCTGGGGAACCCTAGGCCATGTACCCTGTGTCCAGGGTCCGAACTGCTGGACAAAGGCTGGGGCAGGACTTGTAGGTCAGCCATGTGTGTCACCAGAAGGATGGGGACCTATTTGGTTGGGACCCATCAGCCCTGTGTGCCACTAGAAGGATGAGGACCTGAGTCAGTTGGTCACTGCCTCACATTGCGGTCCATCGTGTGGGGTGTTGGAGAGAACTGGCCGGCCCACAGTGGTGTGGTTGGGGTCTGGGTCGTGGTGGACAGTTGTTAAAGGTGGAATTGTGGGCTTGCAGTTCACAGAGGATCTGGTTGGCTCTGTGGAGCATGTGCTGGCCCACAGGCAGGAGCTGAAGGGCTGGACCCGGAAGAAGGCCCCCGGAACCCCCACCAGGGTACAGGCACTGGCTGCTCACCTGCTGTCTGAGATGAAGCTTCCAGGCAAGTGCCCGGCCATCCTCAGCGACGCTGGCCTTGGTGGTAGACTGGGGGTCTCCAGGGCTGTGGCCTTGCAGGGTGGGTGAGCCCTTGGGTGTGTTCTGAGTGTCGTGGGATTTCTGTATCATTCTAGCGATGGCCCCACCTCTGTTGCTGATGTGAACAATGTTTCTCTTATTTTTTTTTTTTTTTGGTGGATCTCCTCAAAGAACCAGATTTTGATTCTATTGTTTTTTTTAAAATCTGCTGTTTTTCTACTATTCCTTATATTTTTGCCCTAGTCTTTTGTTCCCTTCTTTCTGTTTGCATTAGGTTTAGTTCGTCTTCTTTTCCTGATTTCTTAAGATACAGGTAGAGACGATTGATTTGAGATCTCTCTTCACTGTAGGCAGCGTCAGCATAGGCAGCTATGAATTTCCCTCTGAACACTGCTTTAGCTGCACCTGTGAGTTTTAGGTTTTGTTTTCCTTCATCTTAAGTGTTTTCTAATGTCCCTTACGATTTCTTCTTTGACTTATTGGCTATTTAGAAGTGTCATTCGATTTTAACATGCTGTGAATTCCTCAAATTGCCTTTGGCTACTGATTTTTAATTTTATTTCTTCATGGTTGGAGAACATACATTGTATAATTTACTGGGGGCATCTTTTCTGACCTAGAATATGGTCTACTTGGGGCATTGTCCATCATACACTTGAGAAGCATGTATTCTGCTACCGTTGGGTGAGAAACAGTCTACATTTAGATTTACTTGGGATTTGAGATTTTAAAAAACTTCATGGTGAAGTCTCTCTGCAAAGTAGACTTACTTTATAAATATGTTATTCTTTTATTATAAAGCCAGGTTTTAAAATGCAATTTAAAAATAAGTCATGTTTCAAATGTTTAGGAAGGTATTTGGAATGTGGAAAGATATACATATCAGTATCTTGTGGGTGAATTATTTGTTTTTTTTTTTAAAGAGAGAGAGAGAGAATTTTTTAATATTTATTTTTTTAGTTTTCGTGGACACAACATCTTTATTTTATTTTTCTGTGGTGCTGAGGATCGAACCCAGCGCCCCACGCATGCCAGGTGAACGCATTACCGCTTGAGCCACATCCCCAGCCCAATTATTTGTTATTTCAAAGTCAATAGTTTTAAAAAGAAGAATCATAAAAAGAGAAAACTTAAGTTGTCTTTTAACTAGAAAAAGTTAAATCAAACAATTAAAATTATCCTTAAGATTTCGGTAATGAACAGGTAATGAGAAATGTATTTGAAAACTAGTTTGATTAGAAATGATAGGAATTTGCAGCCTCATACAAGTTGGGAAGAGGATGATTAAGTAGTTGGGTTTCTACATTTCCTGGTAAGTAAAATGGGCAGGAGTTAGAGGAAAACCATTATTTGAGTTTAGACCCCACGTTTCCCTGGGTTGGGAGTGATGATAGCTGTGAACGGAGGCTTCACACGCAGTAGTGAGTTTAAAAACAAAGCTCCCTGGACCTGGCGGTGACCACACAGGGGTGTTCTGGTATCACGTCCATTGTGCCCACAGGGAAACCGAGGCTGCTTCAGGCCCAGGTGTGTCCTGTGACATCACCGTGTCACCTCACTCTGTAGGTGAGAGAGGGACAACAGCATTAGCTTTTCCCAGATCAACTAGAGGGTCCCCGTGAGTGACCAGCCACCACCCCACCCTGGACAGTTGACCCTTGGGGCTGAAGCCCTCACAGGTCCCAGCTGCTGAGGCACGGGGGACGCGGCCTCCTTGTAAGGGCCTGGCTGTGAGGTGGGCGGCTGAGGTGCAGCTTGGTGGGCAGCTCAGTGGGGAAGGAGAGGACAGGGGTCTCACTCAAATCGTTGAGACCACGCACTGAAGAAATAAAGCAGGCCCCTCGTGGAATTCCCAAATTTTATAGCAGCCACATTTAAATAGTGGGAAGGACAAGTGGATTCCGACATGTGATCAACGTAAACAAGAAGCTGTGAGCTATTTTCCATACCAGGGCTTGAAGTTGGGTGCCTGGTGCTCGGGCTCATCTCCAGTCAGCTGAGCCGCCTCCCGTGTCCAGGGTCACGCTCGGTCCCCAGCTCCTGTTTCTGTGTGGCTTAGTCGCTGGAAGGTGCCGTGCTGGCCCAGTGACACCACTTTCCCCCTCCTAGATGGCAGCAGGCCGCTGGGGCCTCACTGGCTGGACCATGCCTGTGACCGAGCCACGGTCGAGGACTGGGTGTTCAGGGTCCCCCTCGTGGCCACGTTCCTGAGAGTGGTCATCCACCAAGGCTTCCCGGTCCTGTGTTCGTCCCTCGATCTGGCCACGCTGGTGCCCGAGTGCCAGGTGGGCCCCGGGCGGGAGTTTGACAGCGTCCTGGACGTCCTGGCGGTCATCTACCTCAACTCCCACCTGGCGCGGGAGCAGCGGCACCACTGGCACCTGCTCTTCTCCTCCCAGCTCCACGGGCAGAGCTTCTCGCAGCTGTGCGGGCACATCACGCACCGGGGGCCCTGCCTCATTCTCCTCGAGGACCAGGACGGACACGTGTTTGGTGGCTTTGCCTCCTGCCCCTGGGAGGTCAAGCCTCAGTTCCAAGGTGAGCCTGAGTGACCACGCTCCCTGGGGCAGCCCAGCTGTGGGGGCGCCCGCCCGCTGCTGCTGCCCTGGAGGCTGTGGGCGGTGGGGAGCGGGGCGCTGGCAGGCCTTCTCCTGGCCTCTCCAGTGTCCTGGACACGAGGGCCTGACAAGCCAGGACACCTTTCTGGTGCGCAGACCTCCTCCGGTCCTGGCCATGGGGTAAAGTAAGCAGGGGCAGCCCCGGGCCAGCTTCCAGGAGAGGACACAGAGGCCCAGTGTCACCCACCCCACCAGGTCTAGAGGTCGTGGGAGAGGTCGGGCTGCGGATGGCTGGGAGGGACCCACAGGTGACTCTTCTTTCAGAGGGACATTTTTGCTGCCTGGACCGACTGGCCGCCCTCCTGTCCCCTCCTCCCTTCTGTGGGCGCTGCCTCCTGGTCTTGTGACTTGGTGGAGGTTGAAGCTGCTCGCCCAGTGCCAGAGGCTGGGGCAGACCTTCCCCTTCCCGGGAGAACCTGCTGAGAGCATCCCCAGGGAGCTTCGTCAGAGGCCAGCGGCCGTGTCCCTGGGATCGGGGAGGGGTAGAACCAGTAGGTGAAGGGCTGGTGCCTCTGTCCCCCGGATCTGGTTGGTTTTAGAATCTGATTCATCTCTGAGTGCTAGTTCTGACACTGGTGGGCACTCTCCCCACATGGTGTCCACTCACGCGGCTGCCCTTGCACATGGACTTTTCTGGAAACAACAGCCTCCGTACCTCAACATCTGGGGTGGGGTGTCCTCCCACCGGTGACTGTGGCTCGGGGAGCCCAGCTGGGCTGCCTTGCTGTGGCTCAGGCTCTGCTTTAGGACACGAACAGGCCAAGAGTTGGGACCACAGATGACCACAGAGCCATGAGGACACCTTCAGGTCCACTGCTGGGCCTCAGTGGTCCACACACGCTGACTTTGTCCCCCTGGTTCGGTGGGGCGTGAAGAGCCTCGTGCCCTTCAGGGTGGTACGTGGGGGAAATGCGGGAAGTTACACAGGCCAGGCATCACGTCAACCTCGTTCTGCCCTGGAACGCGGGACGAAGCTTCAGCCCAGGGCAGCCTAGGCCTGCGGTGGCCCGGCCCTGGGCTTTGGTCCCCTTCAGGGCAGTGTCCACCTGGGCACCTCCAGCTCTGAGAGGGGAGCGGCCGAATGGCACTTCTCTTTGGGATCACTCTGTGGTGCTCTTGGAAAGACTCCAGGCTTGGGTGACGGGCCTGGTCCCCGCTCTGGCCCTCGGGGAGGTGCTTGGGTCTCTGCACCTCAGTTCCCAGAAGCCCGTGACGGTCATGTACCGACCGTGTTCACAGCTCGGCCGGGTGCTCGATGGTGAGAACCAGAAAGGAGCCCTCCTGTGGGGTCCACTCCAGCAGGCAGAGCGACCCTGGGGTCTTCCCCATGAGCTGGAGCCACTGTTTCCACGTGGCTTCCCCTGTCTGCAGCCCCACCTGGACCAGGGGGGGTCCCTGCAGCTGTGGCCCACGCCGTGGCCCCGGCACCTCTCCTAGCAGGGCCCAGTAAGTGTCAGTCGAGGGACAGCTTCAGGACCACAAAGCAAAGTGACGCTGCTCTAAAGCCCGGTGCCCAGGAGGGGAGGCAGGAGCGGGGGGACCAGGCAGCTCCCAGTGCCCCAGGCCCTCTGCCTCCCGGCTGCCGAGGACAGGCGCCTACCAGGCCTCTGTGTGGTCCCAGGTGCCGATTCAGACTTTCCTTCCCCACCTGGACACCCACAGGTGCTCAGGGGGACTGACTGGCCCCTGCTGTGCCCCAGGCTCATCCCTGTGTGGGGTCCTTCCTCCATGAGTGGCTGTGGCCCCGCCACCTCTGTCCAGCACGTCCTTCCTGCCCTTGCTGGCTGTTGATGTGCTACCTGAGGCCCTGACCCTGGCCACTGAGGCCCCCACCGTCTGTCTGATTGGCGGTCAGGGCATTATTTGCTGGCACTCGGCCTGCTCAAGAATGTCCTCATCCCATGGTCCCCTGGGCCTTGGATGCCCCCTTATGTCGTCCACGTGCTTCCTGTGACCCCTTTCCTCCTCGTGGCACCCCTCCCTCCAAGCTGCTGAGCGCTTGTTCCCCCCAGGCCTGGGCGGTGGTTCTCACAGTCGCAGGCATTTCAGGGTCCGGTGTCCAGGTGCAGTCTCTGGGCCCAGCACTGGGACGTGGCAGGCAGCTCTGGGGTGGTCCCTTGACAGAGCTTCCTGTGGGCAAGGCAGGCCCTCATCCCGCCCCAGTGCTGAGTGCTGGTGGGGCAGGGGTCACTTCCAAGGTTTTGACCAGTGCTTCTTATTAATCTGGGGATTGAACCCAGGGTGCTTAGCCACTGAGCCCCATCCTCAGCACTTTTTTATGATTTACTTAGAGACAGGGTCTCACTGAGTTGCTTAGGGACTTGTTAAGTTGATGCCGCTGGGTCCCAACTTGTAATCCTCCTGCCTCAGCCTCCCGAGCCCCTGGGATTACAGGCCTGTGTCACCATGTCCGGCCAGCGCTTCTTTAAATGGCCCGTGTGCTCACACCTGTGCCGCCTCTTGCTGTCCCTCCCCTCCCCGAGGTCCTGCGCTGTGAGGGGCTCTGTCTGCAGCTTTCTTCTCTCCAGGATGGAGGTCTTTTAGGTGGGGACGGCCCCACGCTGTCACACACACTCCAGCAGGCTCCGCAGCGTCCTGGGGGCCACCTGCCCCTGCTCCTGAGGCAGGCGCCTCCCGACTCTGAGTCCTTGCCCGGCCTGAACCAACCCTGGCAAACAGCCGGCAGAGTTCCTCCCTGGGTCCCCCTGGCAGGAGCTAAAGGATGTCCCCAAAGCAGAAATCATGATCCTATTTGGTGCCAGTCTAGTCCCTGGACCCCAGCCCAGCCTGCTGGGTCCCTGGGCAGCCCCGAGTGCGAGGTCTGGACCCACCGTCTGGTCCGGAGAGGCCAAGCACTAGGGGTGTGCCAGTCTGGGGCCCTGGAGGGTGGCGGGAAGGTCTTCCCTGCGCTTCCTGAGCAGGAGCCATGTGTCTGCCGCTCTTGGTGCCCGGCGCACACCGTGACCTGGTGCCCATTGCTCTGTGGCTTCCAGGGGACGAGCGGTGCTTCCTGTTCTCCGTCTCCCCCAGCATGGCCGTGTACCGGCACACGGGCTACAACGACCACTTCATGTACCTGAACTGCGGGCAGCAGACCATCCCGAACGGACTGGTGAGAGCTGCAGTGCGTGGGGTGGGCGTGGGGTGGGTCCCTCCTGACACGCAGCGTCACCTCTGCCACCAGGCATGCGCATCTGTGCCTTTTGGTTCTCACGTGCACTGTGTCTGTCTGTCCGGTCCGGGGCCAGGGTCCCCTCAGGAAGGCTGTGGCCTCTGCTGGGCTTTCGGTGGTGGGTGCAAAGGGTGAATGTGGCCTTTTCTCCCGGCTCCTGTGGTGGCCCACGAGGGTGGCAGACCCGTCACGAGGCACCCTGCCCTCCTGTCCCTCGGCTGGCACACAGCCAGGCTGGCCGGTGGCTCATGAAGCAGCGTGTGGCTCCACACTGGGGTGGCCACGGTTCCTGGCTGTCCTTGCTTCAGTGTGGCAGCTGCAGGAAGCAGCAGAGGCTGTCGGCCAGGGGTGGGCCCAGCCTGGGAGAAAGGCGGGCTGGCCTCCCGCTGCGCGCTGGGCCGTGCCTCGAGGGGGACCCCGAGTCGCTGACGCCCTGGGGCTTCCTCTGCAGGGCCTGGGAGGACAGCACGATTACTTCGGGCTTTGGGTAGATGCTGACTTCGGGAAGGGACACAGCAAGGCCAAGCCCACGTGCACCACGTACAACAGCCCGCAGCTGTCCTCCAAGGAGAACTTCCGCTTTGACAAGATGGAGGTGTGGGCAGTGGGAGACCCCCCAGAGTCGCAGCTGGTGAGTGGAGGGTCTCGAAGGTGGGGCTCCTCTGTTCCTCCCCACGGGGGTGGTTGGTCCTGCTTGGTTTCTGGGGACGCTGCAGGCGCACGGCACAGTTGGTTTTGGGGCCCTGTCCTGGAAAGCAGGGCCCTGCCCGAGGTGTGTCCCTTTGTCCTCCCTGCCCATCTGTGAGACCAGAAGGCCTGGGCCCCTTGGGGTTGCCTGGCTCTGCCTGGTTGGGCCCTCTGCACCCACGCAGCCCCTCATCACTCTGGAGACTGCAGCACCCTGGGCGGGGCCTCAGGGCCTCAGGGCTTCCGCAGCAATGGCCCCTCTCTGGAGAGCCGACCCAGGGCCGGAAACCACTGCTCGGTTCCAGTTCTTGGGAGCTGCTCGCCTCTCTGCCCATCATGAATTCCCTTTCCCCTTCTCCCCAAGGTCCAGGGCAAAAAGAGCATCCTCGACGTTGATCCTGAGGCCAGGGCCCTGCTGGAGATCACTGGGCAGACTCGCCACAGTGAAGGGCTCCGTGAGGCCCCTGAGGACGACGCCTAGACGGCGGGGCTTCCAGAGCCTGGACACGGACATCCCTGGTGCAGCGCCTACGGCCCTCCCCGGGGTGTGTGTGAGCCTCGGACCTCCCCTCTCCTGCCGGGCAACTCCATGGAGCCCTGGACGGGCTTGACCAGAACACGCCGTGCCAAGAAGGTCCCTCTGCGGCCACAGATAAGATTTCTGGGAGATGACCTCCCAACCTGAGTGTCAAATTAGCAACTCAGTCTTAAAAGTTTGTTCATTTCTCATCTATGATATCCAAAGACACAGACATTTGGAACTCGGCTGGAATTCGCGGTTCTTGGGGATGTCTTGTCCTGCAGGAAGGAGTTCCCCCACTGGGGCCACTTGGCCTCTGCTCAGGCCATCCCAGTTAGTGCCTTGATGGTCCATTTTGACTGGTAACAGATGGACGTTTGGGTGAGAATCTCGGTGCTTGGTGGGGACAGTGTCCTCGGGCAGGAGCGTGTTTGTGTATCGAGGCACAGCCGGCCGGGGGTGGGTGGGGCGCTGGAGGGGGGAGAGCGGGGCGCTGCAGCGCTGTGGTCCCCACTGTGTGCGTGTCAGGGTCTGCGTCTGCCTTTCTTGGCTCGTTTACAGACCTGAATCGTGAGCAGATGGGGGCTCACGGGCGTGAAGTAGCAGCTCTGTTGCCAACTCAAATGTGGGGGACGCCTGGGGGTCCTGAGCCTGGAGCTTGCTTGATAGATGCAAGCAGCCCACCCTGAAAGTCAGTGGCGAGTGACATCCAGGGCTGCTGGGGGCCGAGCCGCTAGCCACCATCACAGCCCTCAGAGTCACTCCTGGCCTGGGGGTTCTCCCCCGGGGAACGGTGGCGGGGGAGATGCAGACTCGCCCTGAACCCCAGGGATTCCCAGATGCTGAGGGCTACCTGGGTGGGCTGCGCCTCCACGCACATCCACCGCCTCTCCTCTGACGTCTGGGGAGTGGGTGCTGCTGAGGACCCTCCTCCTGCCAGGAGCCATGAGCTCCGAGTCTGACTGTCCCTTTTGTCTTGGGCAGAGCTGCTGCACTGTGGCCCTTGTCCCATACTTCCCTGGATTAGAAGCCATACTGACCCAGCTGCCTTGTTTTGGGGATTCCTGGTTTCCCCCAGAGGCCGGGCGGGCCTTCTGCCGAGCCCCACCCCGACCAGGCAGGGCCTCGTGGGTCCCCTCACAAAGCCGCTCGGTGCACAGAGGGTGCAGCGGGCCCAGGGACTTGCTCACTGTCGGTCCTCTTCCCAGGAAGCCAGCCCTCAGGGCTTGTGGGCATTACGTGGTCTTCCGGATAAGACAGCAGGTGCCCTCCCTGCCGTGGATCCCAAGAGCTAGGTCCCCAGTGGTCCCCTCGTTTTGGATTTTTAAAAAAAAGTGCAATTAAATACCTCCCAGGTCACACGGATGTGCCTTGATTTCCTTTGTCGTTGGTGTCAGGGGGCTGCCACCCGTGCACCTGCTGGCTGCTTGACCTTGTGCTCTTCCTCCCCAGGTGACAGGTGGAGATACAGCCACTTCCAAGGCAGCACCCCTACACCAACAAGGGGGGCACTGGGAGTGTGGGGGCACAGCAGCCTCTGGGGTGGTGGGGGACAGCCTCCCGGGATGGTGCAGGGCAGCCTCTTTGCGCTCACACACCTTTGTCCCCATCTTCTCAGCACACCAAGGGGTTGGGGTGTCAGCAGGGTGACAGGCCTAATCACACCTGGGTCTGAGAAACTCGTGATCTTGTTTTAACAGATAAGGAATGTTAGGGTTTGAGGTGTCCCCCAAAGCTCATGTGGGACAGTGTGGGAAGGCTGAGAGGTGAGTGAGAGGTGGTGAGACCGTACCCCTCAGTGGGTCAGTCTCTTTGAGGGACTCATGGTTTGAGGATGAGTGGGTGGTAACCGGAGGCGGTGGGGCCTGGCGGGAGGGAGCAGGTCACGGGGCAGGTGCCTGGGGACTGCAGTACCCCGGCCTCCCTGCGCTGCGTGCTCTCTGCCTGCCGGCTGCCCCTCCACCATGGCCTTCTGCGTGATGCCGGGCCTCACCTCGAGCCCAGAGCGATGGAGTCGGCCGACCACGGACTGAACCTCTGAGACCGTGAGCAGAGTACGTTTCCTCCGGGACGAGGTCCTTGTCAGGTCTTTCGGTCACAGAGATGAAAGGCCAGCACGAATCCGAGCAAGAACTCGGTTGGTAAAGGCTGGGGGTCTTCCTGCACCTGAGGACCAAGCACAGCCCAGAAAGTGCTAGAAGGAAGAGGTAAAGCAATTTTTTCTTATGAAAAAGCCGCATGCGTACAAAGTTACATGTGCACCCGGAGGGACGCGCCTCGGCAGTGAGCCCTCTGGCCCAGCCGACCCCCGAATGGTCCTCCCAGGGGGGACGCGCCTCGGCAGTGAGCCCTCTGGCCCAGCCGACCCCCGATGGTCCTCCAGGGGGGACGCGTCTCGGCAGTGAGCCCTCTGGCCCAGCCGACCCCCGATGGTCCTCCAGGGGAGCCACACCTGAGCAGAACTCACCCCCTGACCGACCCTCATCCTCGTGTCTCTGACAGCCCTGCTCCGTGTCCCCACCTTCTCCACCTGTTGTCCCCGGTCACTGTGACCCACAGCACACAGTGTTTTGCTAGGGCCGAAGGCGCAGTGAGGGCCCGTTGTGCGTCTTGGTGGGGCCGGGCCGAGGTGAGCCCGCAGGAGCTGCAGAGTGGGTCAGAGGCGTATCCTTTCCATTATTTAGATGTTGACAAGTGGATCACCCTCCTGAACTCACTTTAGACCTAATGTGCAGGGGACTGTTTGCACCTGCGCAGCGACGCCGCCGTGGTGACAGCTCGCTTGTCCCTCTGGTTCTGAAATCTCTCCTGGGCCTGCAGCGGCTCCACCCTTCAGGAGCTGCGCTTCGGGAGGCAGGTCTTTCCTTGGTGACTTCAAGGTGCTTCGGTGGACAAAGCCAAGAGCACCTGGCCTGCACGGCACGCGTCCTCCGTCTGTCCACCCCGTGGCCTTGTTTCACATCGCCTTGGGCAGCGTCTCTGAGGCGTTCTGGGGTAGTCTGCTTGGGAGATCTCTCCTCCCTGAGGAAGTCAAGACTCGTCCTTCTGCTCCATGTCGCTGTGTCTAAGCGCGAGTCCCTTCCGAATGTGTCCTAGAACGTGGCCTCGTCTCACCCTAGAACAAGCCCAGCAGGCTTTATAGGAAGTGGTACACCTTGTCCCCGCTGACTTGAAAGGCCACGGGCTCATGGCCTGCATTTCTGAGTTGAGGTCTCTTTCATCTTGGTAGCTGGAGTCTCATGATAAGGAGATAAGGCAGAGCCATTCCCCTCCGGCCGTCTTCTGGAACCTGCTGGTGTGTTTGCTTCTTATTTTTCTCTGCACTTCGGAGGCACCGTGACCACTTCTGAAGGCTGGTGGTGGTGTTCTTGAGGTAGCTGCCCGCGTTAATGGATGTTTCAGGCTGACCTCTGGCTAACTGAGCTCTGGTGTCCAACAGCAGGAACCCGGGGCCTGCTAGGTAAATCTCCGTGGTCATTCCTGGAGCTGTGAATGGACATTTCTCCTAACAGGTGCCGTTCGAACACAGGAAAGCTCTTTTGTACACAGCTTCACCCTAGTGACGTCATGGAGCAATTCCGTCCAGTGACTGTCACCCGAGTCCTGGAGGTGTCTCCAGTGTGGGGTTCCGTTCCCGGGCTGATCGGTATGCCTGGGGGACCTGAGACGTACCTTGCTAGTGAGTCCCCAGCTGCTGTTCTTGACACTCTGCGGTGTCTCCTGGAGTCTGACACCATCACAGCATGCCTAGAACTAGGGACACTTGCCCACTCTCCTGGGGCCGAGCCCTGTCCCTGCCGCCCTGTACAGAAGTACCTCTAGGGCATTAAGAACAGTGACACCTCCTCCTTCTGACCTCAGCTCTGTGCTGGCGTCCGCGGAGCTGTCTCCTGTGGCTTTTCCCAGGATGGAAGCCCCCGTGTGCCCGGGTTGGAGAGCTGGTCTGCAGAGGCTGAATCTATAAAAAGCTTTTGGTTTTAGCATCTGTGGTTTTCTTCCTAGAATTATTAACAAGGAATGTGAAACGAAGGGGTTTGCAGAGGTGCCCCTGTCCGCAGCGTTGTTAGCCTGGTCCGGCCGTGTCCAGCGCTGCAGGTGAGCGAGGTACTCTGGGCGCCTTTAATCAGACTTATGTAAATCATGCTTCAGCCTTTTGCTTTGGTGCTGGAATTGAAACCAAAATAATTCAGGCTCCTCCTCACACTTCATAAAAATACCCCAAGCCGTCAGCTGCAGCCTCAGAGGACGGGCAGCGTGGTCACCCTTGGCCGCCTCTGGAAGGGCCCCGAGTGTCACCAGTTGGGCTGTGTGGCCTCAAGCTGTGGCATGAACAGGCAGAGACACAGTTGATAAAAACCAGGTGATTTAATAAATAAATGCGGCCCCTCCCGTGCGTCCCAGAGCCCCGCAGGGGGAGGACGGCAGAAGCAGCCTCCAGAGAGCAGCCACGGCCTCCTCCAGGTCTCCCCAGAGGACAGTCCACGCCTGCAGCTGCGCCGCCCTGGAAGCCTCCCTCTGAAGTCCACGCTGTGCCAGGGCCACGGCTCCGAACACAGATGGCGCAGGGACGCCCCTCGGGTGGCGGCTCACAGGTCGTCTCGGTGCGCCCCGGCTCTCCTGGCTGGGGAGCAGCACCTCTCCCAGAGCTTGGCGAGCTCCGACAGAAGGAAGACGGACGAGGCCAGGCCCGTCAGGAACAGCAGGTCTGCGGGGAGGCGGCAGAGGGGTCAGGGCCGCGCTGAGGTCACCTCCCACCCCGAGCAGGTCCCTGGCCCCGTCTAGGGCGAGGCACGGCTCCCTGTGGAATTTGGCGGGCAGACCCTCTTCCCACCGGGGGAGGCCTTTGCTAGAAACCGCGTCCGGGGCTCCTTCTCTTCTGCCTGTCCCCTGCCCTGCACGGTGCCCGCTGGTGACCCCCATGGGTGCTGGTGGAGGACAGGCACCGTCCCTCCCCTGCCGAGGCCACAAGCGCAGCCCCTGTGCAGCCTCACACCTCACCGGCCATCGAAGGTCCCTCCTGAGCAGGGACAAGCCACAGGCCGCCCTGTGTCAGCCCTGGGGACCAGCCCTCTGCTCCTCGGGGGGACTGGCCAGGGCAAGACTGAACCAGGAGGGAGAGGGGACGAGCCCTCTGGACACTGCTGCCCTTCAGGTGACCCCCACACAACCCTTCCTTGCTGGGGTGAGGGACTGTTCCCTCCCCTGCCAGCCTGGCTGGGGACATGGGAGTCCTGGGTCCCATACCAGGTGTCTCAGGGGCTCCATGTCACTAAATCAGGTCTGTTTTAGCAAGAACCGTAGGGTGGCCCAGCTTCTGGTCTCCAGAAATGTCAAAGTCACAGAAGGCTTGGGGTCCAGGCCACGCCCCCCAGCTGAGGGGACATCAAGGGCTGAGCTCAGACAGTCCTGCCCACTGCAGCTGGGGGCCTCATGTGGCTGGTCCTCCTGCCCTAAGGGCCGGATGTGGACCCCCTCCCAGGCCCTACTCCTGGCGAAGGGGCCTCTTCCTGAGCCTCCTGTGTCCTCTGCGTCCCCTTGATGCCTCCCTCCTGCCCAGGTCCAGGGCAGAGCAGCTGCCCGCCTGCCGCCGTGTGTGGGGCTTCGGCATCTCGGGGCGCACCGCCCACAAGCCCTCGGGCCCTTGCCTGGCAGGGGCGGGGGCAGCACCTCCAGCCTGTTAGTGACCTCTCCTCAAGTCCCGCACTCACCCAGCGCTCCCAGGTTCTCCGTCTGGAAGACCCTCTGCAGGGGCGGGACGTAGATCACGGCCAGCTGCCCCAGGAGGGACCCGAGGACCGAGTAGAGGAACATGCGGTTCCTGAGGAAGCCGATCTCCAGAATCAGCTTGGTCTGCGGGGAGGAGGCTGCGCGTGGGCACCTCACAGTAGGGCAGCGCTGCCCAGCGCCACCTGCTCTGAGCCGCCCGAGGCCTGGACAGACCGGGGCTCACAGGTGACCCTGCAGGGAGGTGCCTGTCAGGAGGACGCAGGGTGCAGCCACTGTCATACCTGGGAGCGGCAGGTCAGGGCGTTGAAGAGGTCGAAAAACACGAAGCACGTGAAGGTCATGGTGGTGGTGCGCGGGGTGCTGGCCCCGTCGTCCGGGATCTGGAACACGCACAGGCAGGGCCGGTGAGGCCGCGGGTCCTCAGTGCGCCATCCTCACCTGGGAGCCCAGGACAGAGCCTCTGCCGCAGACCAGGCCCTGGCCAGCCACCGCCTCTGGCCCCGAGCTCCACGGTGGGAGCTGCAGACGCATCTCCTGACCACAGCTGAGTGCGGCCACTGAGTGAGGACCTGGCTCTGGGTGTGCCGTGAGCCCTCTGGGGGGCAGTGCTGCCTCCTTCCAGGAGGTAGACAAGCTAGCTACCCGCGAAAAGCCGTCGCCTCCAAGGAAGGAGGACAGCTGGCAGCAGAGGAAACCACGGCCTTTGAGGCCTCCAGGGTGGACGCAGAAACCTCCCCAGCTCTGCCACGCAGCATCGTGGGCACAGGTTTCCGGGCATCTCTCGCCTCTACCTCCCCCTCCTGCATGGGACTCTCCCTGGCCCTCCCAACCCAGAGGGACGGGCACGGTGGCACACGCCTGTAATCCTAGTGACTCAGGAGGCCGAGGCAGGAGGACCTCAAGTTGGAGGCCAAATGGATTCCCGGCCTCACTGCCCAGCCTTGCCACTGTAGGACCCAGCCGGGCCCTGCCCCTGCAGGCCATGATGAGTGACCATGACGAGATGCCATGGAAGGTAAGACAGGAGGACGCTCTAGGTCCCCAGTTGCTTCCTGGTGACAACAAAAGCCGTGGGGGCTATGTCCCCTCGAGGAGGGAACCTGCGTCTGTTGTCAGCCTCTATCGGTTCACGCCCGGCTGCCGCCTGGCTGGGCGCCCACCCACTGGCCTGTGCCCTCCCGGCAGGCGGTAGCTCCTCCCTGCTCCTGGGCCACCCTTCCCTGTGTTGCGTGTCCCTGTTCCTTCTGGTGGCCCCAAGTTCTCCATCTGCCTACGCGTCTCTCCCCTGACCGGGCAGGGACCATCCAACCCCAGCGTCAGCCGATGGGGCACGTGACTCACCTCTTTCCAGAAGACGAAGAGGGTCCCGCTGATGATGGTGGCAGCGGACAGGAGGGTCTTCAGGATGAGGGATCGGCTCAGGATTGTGTCCCTGACGTTCCGTGGGGGCTGCCTCAGCATGTCCCTGTCCACGGGCTCTACCCCCAAGCTGTTCCCAAGACAAGGGACACTCTGATGTGCACCAGAAACAGAGGAGGACCTCGGCACAGACACAGGCCCGAGTCAGGCTGCCAACCTGCTGCAGTGCCCGCCAGGATCTCCCGGCCTTCCCCATGCCCCCTCGCCCCTGGCCACCTCTGCCTGTCCTCGAGATAGCAAGGGCAGCCCACCCAGTGGGTGATGGCACCGGTGCCCGCCTTCCCACCACGCGGTGATCTCAGTGACCTGGTCTTTCCTAGTCTTTAGGCAAGTCCCAGCTCCGGGGGGCCCTCTGGAGGGGCTGTGAGAAGCGGGGCCCAGCTCTGCCCACTGCAGGGCCCCTCAGTCCCAAGAGACTCGACTTCTGCTACCAACCGGCAGGATGGGGGCTCACCCCGCCGTGGCTGGCCAAGGGCACTTGTAGAAGAGGCGGCTCCAGCGCCGGGGGGTGAGCTGGGCCCTCCCTCCCTCCCTCAGGCTGTGCTGCTGGTCACATAGGACAGGTCTGCCTGGGACACCACCTGGTGTGCCGCTCAGCAGGGTGCCAACCCCAACCCGTCTTTCCCCCGCGCCTGTCTGCACACAGCCAGTGGCACACATGCCCCCGTGGGATGCCTGCCCCGTGCCAGCAGCCGGGGGACAGCCAGGACCAAACCCAGCCCCACCTCTGAAGTTGTGTCACCGCCCAGCCCTGCCCAGCTCCGTCCCCCTCAAAGCAGGTGGTTCTCCGGCCTCCTCGGGGGGGCCTGGGCCTTCGTCCCTGCTGCAGGCCTGGGGGCGGGCCCGGCCCCACTGTCCGCTCACCTCTGTGCGGGTGGCCCGTCCATGATGATGTTGACCCACAGGATCTGCATGGCGTTGAGGGGACTGGGCAGGTTGAACACGGTGGAGAGGGTGAGCAGGCTCAGGGCCGAGATGCTCCTGCGGGCACAGCACAGACGCAGCCGTCAGCGCCACCCCGCGGACAGGTGCCCGGGGCCGCGGGACTGCGGGCCCCACTCACGTGCTCAGCTGGAACCGGACGAAGTTCTTGATGTTGTGGAAGATGGCCTTGCCTTCCTCCACGGCGCTCCTGTGGGGAGGGACGGTGTGGGCAGAGCGGTCCTGCAGGCCTGGCCTCGCGCAGTGCTGGTGAGCCAGGTGGGCGGCCCTTGCAGGTACTCTGGGGACACACTGTTGCCCTAACCATGTCCACCAGCCTCTGGGGACCTGCCCTGAGGCCCTGTAGCCCTCTGTTCACGAGGTACACTCAACGCCTCCAATTACCCTCTGGCTGAGCCTGGGCCACTCCTTGGCTAAGACCCTGCAGTACTTAAAGGCCACAGCAACTGGCCGTCCGAGACAGGACCACAGGAGACGGCATGAGGGGACCTTCCTGAATCTGCAAGAGGCTCTGCCTGGGCTCAATCCCACTTTTATGGAATGGCGCTGCCACCGCCCCAGGACCCTGCTTTGAGAGGCGCCTGGGGACACGTGCCAGAGTCTGGGCCGAGTCTCAGGAGGCAGCTCTCTGGGGACTCCTTGGACCCCTCCTCAGCAGAACCCCTGCCCCGCCCCGTCTCTCACTGCAGCAGGTCCCGGGGGGGGGCTGGTCACCCCAGCTCTGGCCACCGATGACCTGCCGGCGAACCGCTCACATGATGGTGGAGAAGTTGTCATCCACCAGGATCATGGTGGCGGCCTCTTTGCTGACGTCAGTCCCCGTCTGCCCCATAGCGATGCCAATGTCTGCAGACTTGAGGGCCACCGCGTCGTTCACACCGTCCCCCGTCATGGCCACAATTGCCCCCGACTCCTGCAGAGCCTTGGGGAAGAGCAGGCGCTGGAGGCTGCAGCCAGAGGTCCCCTCCAGCACCTCCTCCTGGCCTGGCCCTGTGGGCTATGTGTGGCTGCAGAGCCCCTGGCTGGGGGACACTGGAGCAACACAAACCTTTCCTCCTTTGTAAACGTTTTCTCTCAGGTACTTTGTCACAGCCACAGGACACTAGCAGATGAGGAATCTGTGCCCTAAAACCATGATGTGCCCAGTATATAGATTTTTTTTTTTTGAGGAATAACTAGAGATTATGCAAGTGACATCAAAAATACCCAAAAGAACTCAACCAGCCCCAAAATAACATGAAAGAAAAAAGCACCAAAGAGCTCAGGAGCAGGTCTCAAGCCCTGTGCGGGGAGGACAGGAGCACTTCCGGGACCCACGGGATCCTAAAATGACAGCCTTTTCCTCAGGACCTTGCTGTGGGACAGGAGCAATGACATCAGCAGTGCCCCGTTCCACAAGAGAAACCAAGACGTGGAGTACATTAAGGAGAGCCACGCGGAGGGGCAGCTGTCAGGCCCGGCTCCTGCCCCGCCCTGCCCCGCCCTGCCCCGCCACGCCCAGCTCCCGATGATCCTCTTTCCCCTGTTGGTGACCAGCGGCCCCCAGTCCCATTTCCATCTCCTAAAAGGGTCCCTGGCTGTCATCTGGGCTTGCACCTGCCCTGCAGAGGGGACATTCCCCAGAACCCATGCAGCTAAACGTGGCCACGTGGCAGCACTCGGTGCGGTGGCCTGGGCACTGGGTGACGTGGAGCCACAGCTGGAGACATGGCCGCCCACCCTGGACTGTCGCTCAAGGGACCAGCGAGCCCCAGGCGCCACCGTCTGGGCACCGCTTACCTTTATGATCTTGAGCTTGTGCTGGGGGCTGGTCCTGAAGAACACGGACACCTGCACCCGCAAAGTGAGGAGAGTCACCAACCTGGGGCTCCCGACGCCCCCGCCCGGCCGTGCCCGGGACAGCCCACCTGCCCGACGCAGGCCGCCAGCGCACGCTGCTCTGTGCCCGCCACCTCCTCCCCAGACATGGCTCTCAGCTTCCCGTTGCACAGGCCGATGCTTCTTCCTTCAGGGAGAATCCGCACTGAGGACCACACAGGCCCCGATGGTGGCCCACCCCCGCCTGTCATTCCATGTCCCCGATGTCACTTCCTACTTGAGTGTGGAATGACAATAAAACCACAATGGACACCGTGTGCTGAGCACCTGCTACGTTCCTGATCTCAGTTCCACTCCAGGACTGACGGGCAGCAGGCCTGATTCTCCCCACTTTAAAGAGGGGAAACAGAGGTGAGTTCTTCCAGGTCACACAGCCAATAAGGGGTAACACTAGGACCTGAAATGGTTCTGACTCAAAAGTCTGTGATCCTTTCACACACTAGACTGCCTCGGGACAGAATGGGGGAAAGCCAACGTGTGACGACACTCACAACAGTAGTCACTAGAATAGGAGGAGGAGACTGAGGGTCAGAGTGGTTCAGTGATTTGCCAAGGGTACACAGCTAGTGCCAGAAGCCAGATGGAAACTGTCCCTTGTGCATGATGCTGCCTGCCAGGTGAAGTCACATCGCTTCATGGACATGGGCAATGGCAACACGGTTGGTCCTCACTTTCCATGAGGACCCCTTTTGGAAAACCTGCTGATATTTTGCAAACAGATACACCTTAGAAGGTGGAGCAGTAGGGCACTGGTCAGGGAATCTCAGATTCTTTTTTTGGGGGGAGGGATTGAGCCCCATCTCAGCTCCCCCAACCCCTTTTTTTCTTTCTTTGTGGAGCTGGGATTGTAGCCAGGGCCTTGTGCATACCAGGCAAACACTCCACCAGCTGAGCCCCGCCCCAGCCCTCTTCCCCCACACCTTTTCTGCTTTTAGTTGTGGACGGCCTTTATTTTATTTGCTTATTTGTACCTGGTGCTGGGAATCGAACCCAGTGCCTCACCCGTAGGAGGTAAGGGCTCTACCGCTGAGCCACAACTCCCGCCCGTCCCCCGCCCTTTTTGAGACAAGGTGTCTCCAAGTTGCTGAGGGTCTCGCTAAGTAGCCCAGGTTGGCCTCAAATGTACAATCCTCCTGCCTCAGCCTCCCAGATTGCTGGGATCACAGATGTGGGCCACTACACCCAGCTCTGTTTGAGGCGCTGGCGATTGAACCCAGGGCCCGCTGCGTGCGGGACAGAAGCTGGCCACCCAGCCTCACCTGGCCTTCTCAGTGTTTGCTCAGCCCTGGGAGGAGGGTGTGGCCAGGTGCCCTGAGGACTGAGGGGCTGTGGCCCTTTCTGCCCACCCGCCTTACCGATCGCCAGGGCCGTCTCCAGGGCGTCTCCTGTGATCATCTTCACGGACACCCCGGACTCCGAGAGCACCTCAACGGCTTCCTTCACACCAGCCCGCGGGGGGTCAATGATGCCCACGAGACCCAGAAACGTCAGCCTCCCAAGCTCGGGCCCAGAGGCCAGGGCCAGCACTGCGGAGGGACCAAGACCAAGAGTCACAGGGCCCGCGGGGACTGTTCTTAGTCCCCGCCAGCCCCCCGTGGGTCCAGATCCTGTCTGCAAGGGGCTTGGGCACAAGTGCTGGACTCCAAGGAGAAGCAGAGCTCTCCCGGGGTCTTGGGCCTGGGCGGGGGAGTGCCCGGCACAAGACAAGTGGCAGAAAGTGACACTTGTGAGCACTTGTGGCCTAGGATCCGGACCCCGCCAGCAAGCGCGGCCCCCAGAGAGCCCTGCAGGTGTCTGCGGGCCCCATCCCGCCGGGTTCCAGAGCCTGGATGGCGGTGCCAACCCAGCGGAGTCCCCAGTGGTGCCCGTCCACTGTGGCAGCTCTGCCTGGGGCACTGGTCAGCAGGCTGGCCACGATTTACAACCTATGTCCCCAAAGGGGACACTGAGGTGACAGGAGCTGAGAGGGAGCCCAGCATCTCTCCTCCCCCACAGGATGCAAGTGTTTCTGAGCATTTTCAAACCCCCTGAAAAGGGAGAGGTGACCAATGACACAGAGGGAACCAGGATTTCGTCCTCAGCCCCAGGGAGGCAGCGGCTCTGGCCCAGAAAACCACGGGCAGCCGTGAGACGGACTGTGGGCCGGGCCCTGGGAGCCGGAGGCCCTGGGGAGCTGGAGGCCCGGCTTCCCCACAGAGGTGGCCGGGCAGCTGGCGGGCGCCGTCCTCCACCTGAGCAGCAAGGGGCGGCCTTTGCCCCGTGGGGGCGCCTGCGCGGCTGAGAAGCCCCGTCTTCACCTGCCCGGACCCCAAGCTGCTGGGCTGCCGCAAGCACGCAGCCTGCCGGCCACTCTGGCGGATGACCGGTGGCAAGCCCGGCCCTGTGCCTCCCGCGTCAAGGCCACGTGCAAGCTGAAGGCCCGGCTGGCCTGGCACTGACCCCGCAGGCCCAGCGACCCCATCCTCTTCTCTTCCTGCAGGCAGAAGGCGCGCTGCTGGGGCGTCAGGGGCAGCGGGAGGCCCCCGCTGTTGTACGTGGTGCAGGAGCGCATCACCTCCTCGAAGGCCCCCTTCATGAAGTAGACGTCGTCCCCGTCCTGGAAGAGACCATGGAGCCCGCTGTCAGTGGGCGCCTGGGGACAGAGGGGCCGCCACTGTGAGCCCGAGGGTCCAGAGACATGCAGGACACTCTCGGGGAGCTGCCACTGTGGATCCCCCGACAGCTGACACGGGACCCCGGGCGGGGTTTGGAATCCACGTGCTGGAGCAAGGACAGCCACCCTGTTCCACGACAGGTCCCCCTGTCCCCGTCACAGCCTCCTGCGTGTTTCGCTGGTGAAGCCCCCAGCCAGCGCGGGGTGGCGGCTGTCTCCGAGGGCTGCGCCTGTCTAGTCTGCTCCCCGCTATACCCGAGGGGGACCCCGGGGGGCCCCAGAGAACGGAGACCCCGCTTATTAGGATCCGCCTCACACACATGCAGCCCACGTGGGCAGGGCCGGTCCGCATTGTGTCCCCAGCGCGGGCACAGTGCCCGCCTGGCTCACGGTGCGGGACTACACGCTGAGCGGTGTAGAGGGCTCCCGGGACGCGGCACTGGGAGGGCTCAGGGGGAGACAGTGGCAGCCTGGGCAGCGCACGCCTGCACTGCAAACTGCACCTGTGCTGACGGCGTCTTAGAACCTGGAGCAGCCCGGCCATGCGGTGAGGGACACCGCCTTGGGGGACAGAGGGTCTGGAGGGAAGGGCAGAAGGGGAAGGAGCTTTCATTTCATTTCGTCACATTTCTGTGTTTCATAGTTTCCCACTGGAACTTGTTACCATTGTATCTGGGGACAGCAGCTGGAAGGCGGAGGCTGAGGCAGGAGGATCGGGAGTTCCAAGCCAGCCTCAGCCACAGCAAGGCGCTAAGCAACTCAGTGAGGCCCTGTCTCTAAAAAAAATGCAAAAAAAAGAGCTGGGATGAGGCTCGGTGGCCGAGTGCCCTGAGTCCAAAACCTGGTTCCAAAGTGAAATAAAAAAAGAATTAGAAGGTATAAAGGAAATCCACTCATGGCCTTTCTGAAGCATTCAAGATCTGCAGGTGTGTCCCCATGAGGCAAGTGTCAGGCACGTGCTGACCCAGCCACCCAGAGCCAGAGGGAGGAGAGGAAGGCGGAGGGCAGGAGGGGAAGGGGGACATTTTTTTTCTCTAAAAAACTCTTTTTGGTGAAGACAACCTGAAAAGCCACAGGAAACCTACAGTGGCAAAAATGAATAAATAAATGAACGGAAGCCCAGCTGCGGACCCGGGGAGACCTGCTGTCTGGGCACGCGCCCCAGTCGCTGCCTGCAGCCTGCACAGCAGCGGGGTGCACCTGCGTGTGTAAGTGTGAGCCGGACACTCAGCTCTGGGGGTGAGAGCAGGTGCCTCTGGGGCCGCTCCAGTCACAGCCCAGGGCAGCCACGTCCCCAGGGAACTCGGTCCCTGGTCCCGTGCCTGGGGTTCCTGACGCGGGAGGTTGGTGCGGAGCCTGGGACTCGGCATTCCTAACAGATGCCCAGGGGAGGCTGAGGTCGATGGGCAGCGGGCAGCTGCTGCTGCAGCTGAGGAGCCCGGAAGAGGCCCCAGGTGGGTCAGTGCCGTAGCGGCCACCGACGTCCCCTTGACACCTGCACTGAGTGGCCTTATTTTGGAGCAGGGTGAAGCGAGCACAGGAGCAGAGCCGCGGCTCACCTCGTTCTTGCGGCTGCACCTCACCGCCATCCACTTCTGCTCTGAACTGAAGGGGATCTCCTTTCTTCTTATGTAGGAATCTTTAATGTCACTCAAGTCCATCTAAGATCACAAAATGGGACATTTCAGGGTGTCATTCTAAGCTGGTCTTGATGCAAAGCTTGGCTCATTTCAGTCACTCATTCAGCCATCTCAGGAGGAGGAATCACGCGCGCGGGCTCCCAGGTGGCCATTTGTTCTCAAGTGTCCCACCCAGAGAGAGACGTCTCTCTTCTGTCCCCGGACAGAACCCACGGTCTCTGCCTGGTCTCCATGGGAAACCTGCTCAGGGTCTCTGCCAGGACTTGAAGGTTCAGCAAATTCCCAGAAAGGGTCCCTGTGTCAGAGAAGTGGCCCTGCTGCCCGCAGCCCACCAGGCCAGGCCTGTCCACCCATGTGCTCTCTGGTGGCTTTGGGTCAGTTACTCGGAACCATACCTGAACCTCCCCAAACACAAACTAGTTCCAGCCACACACAGGACTCAATGGGATGGGGAGGGGTTTAGAAAAGGGGCTTCCAAAGAGACCCCTGAAGGGACGTGGTATGGGTCGAGGGATGGGAAGTCCTAATCCCAGACCCCGTGAACGTGGCCTCCTTGGAAGCAGGCTTTGCAGCTGTCAAGTTCAGACCAGGTTATATGGTGGCTCAGATGTAAGGAGAGGGACACGCAGGAGGTCACGTGTGACATGGGTCAGAGCCTGGACGGTGCAGCCGTGGCCAGGGGATGCTTGGGCTCCGGCACAGCGGGGCTGCAGAACAGGCCCTGCCCCACCCCGATTTCCACCGCTGGTCACAGAACTGAGACTCCACAGGTTTGCGTGGCTTCAAGCCAGCCGGTATGTGGCACTTTGTCCTGGTGACCGTAGGAAACTCATCTAGGGGAGGTGAGGGCCTGACCCTGGAGCCACTGGGCCCGCTGAGGCTGCACGCAGAGCTCAGTCCCATGCCATGAAGGCACATTCTGAAAGCTGGCAGGAGAGGGGGGACTCGAGCCAGGATGTGGCCCCAGCGGGACAGTGAGGCCGGGTTCTCTCTTCCCTGCTGGACCAAGAGAAGCCACTTAGGGGAATGTGTCCCATGCCCCTGACGCGTTCCAAAGGAACTGTCTCCTGGGACTGGAAGGAAAACAGGAAGGGTGGTACCTCAGGGTCCTTGAGTGGGGAGGGTGCTTCGCTGGCCTGTCCAGGGACTCATTAAGGGCCACTGGCACCTCCTTCCCACTCTGCACTGGCTTCCAGAAGGTGGACCCGGAGGAGGCAGAGGGCTCCTGCTGGAGGGAGGGACAGGTGGACAGGTAGGCACAGAACAGCACAGGTGTCCAAGGAAGGGGACACTAAAGGTGACATTGGTGAAGTCAGAGAGAGACAGTGGGAGGAAGGACAGATGGGGGCCACAGCATAGGCGGAGCGGAGCACAGCGTCTGGATGGGCAGGAAGCAGAAGGAGTCAGACCTTGCTGGGTGAGCACCCTGAGCAGGTTTTGACCCTGACCCTGACCTTGACCTTGACCTGGGTCCAATCAGACCTCCATCAGAGACAAAGTTCCCTTCTACACAGAGGGGTCCATGGATGTGCAGGGCTGGGGAGCTGAGGGCTCCTGCACCCATGGCCCTGGCTGGCCCTGGAGAAGGACGGGGTGTTGGGGGGCACTGCCTCTTCCGTTGGTCCTTCGCAACTCCCTGCCTCTCCCACTCCCCTTCCCACTATCCTTCTCCAGTTTCGCTGCTACTTCTGCTGATTGGTCCCTAAGTACAGGGCACAGCTGCCCACACACTGACCGCCCTGGAGCTCCGCCCACCCTGCCCCACCTGCGTAGACCCTGGGAACCGGCCCTGGGCACGGAGGGGGGAGCATTCTGCAGAGCCCAGAACTAAGGAGGGACCTGCTGTCAATCACGTGTACGGACAGGAGGCAGACCCTGCTGGTTGGGCCTCAGTGAGTAGAACAGTGATGGGCGCACGGATGGGTCCTGTCCCTCTGTCCATCTCCCCAACACCCACAGGGGTCTGGGCCGTGGGGGTGCTCGAGATCTTTCTGGAGCCCTGGCAGAGGGCTAGAGACGTGGAGAACTCTCCAGGGCCACACAGCACCCTTGCCAAGCCCCCCTCCTCCACGGTCAGCACTGCTACTGCGCTTCCCCCCAGCCGGGCCAGAGCAGGTCCTCCTGTCCCACCCAGCTCCTGGAGAGGACCGCGGCCGCCAGACCCTACCTTCATGGCCAGCGCGATCAAGGCGCCCTCTGTGGGCTGGCCCACCACCGTGTTCTTCCTGATGTCAGCGTTGTTGGCGACACAGCCTGCCTGGAATGTCGGCACTTAGTACCAGGAGCCGCTCCCGGGCCCTGGGCTCGCTCAGGACGGAGGAGACGTTGGGCACTGCAGGCCTGACCTGCGCTCAGAGCTGCCCGGGGACAAGCCGTTCCTCCAAGCAAATCAGCACCTGGCTCTTCAGAAGGGACAGAGCACTTCCTGCCTGGCAGAGTGTCAGCTCCCCAAAGCCCGGGTCTGGGACGCCAGGGAGGCAGGTGGGGTAAGGCTGCAGCCTTAGAGACGGACACTGACCCCACGGAGCTGCACTGGGAAGGAGTGGACGCTGAGCTGTGTGGCCCTCAGTTAAGACCCATCTAGAAAACCAAAACCAGAAAGAGCCCAGGCCTCCCGGCTCCCCTCCAGGGCTGGCTGGCGGGGTGGGTCTGGCACTGTCCCGTGTCGCTGAGCCTGTTTGTCAATCTGCAGAGCTGAGACACTGTCCTTGTCATCATGAAGTGGCACCCTGAGGACCTGAGCAGGAGGGTGCTCCCTGAGCCTCATGGAGGAGGAGGCTGGGACTCCGTGGAGGGCACCGCCACGCGGAGGGGAAGGGAGCCACAGAAAGGACGGCCAGGTGTGACGGCCACAGTCGTGTGTGTGGCCTGCTCATTCTCAGTGGCCACTCAGCACCCTGAGCAGGGGCGCCACTGGTCAGAGTGCTCGTCCACGCTCCAGCGGCCAGTCCCGAGACTCTCTGTTCCCTGCCCTCTGTTTCCATCGTGGCAGCCTAACCTGGGTGTGGCCCAGCGGTGCCAAGAACCAGCGGGTCCAGCTCCGCTGCCCCCGGGTCTGTGCGCATCGCACCCCGCTGCCCCGATTCACCTCCACCAGCTTCCCCACGGAGACGTTGGAGAACTCCTTGATGACCTCCTTGGACGGTAGAAGACACACGGTCCCTTTGCCGTTATACCCGACTCCGCTGACCTGCCAGGGCACAGCAGAAGCATGGATGCCACCCAGAGTCACACCAGCTCCCTGGGCAGCCCACAGTCTCCCCCTGGGGTCCACACCGGGGACATCAGCCTGCACAGGAGGAGGAGCCCTGCGGGATGCCTGTCACTCAGGGGCTGAGCGGGCTGCGGCAGGGGTGTTGGGGCGCCTGCTGCAGGCCGGGAAGCCACGGTCAAGAGCGTCCAGCAGGAGCATGGACGAGCACTCTGACCTAGAACAGTGGAAGGTGCTTTCACACCGAGCCAGAGGGCAAGTCCTCAGCCTGTGCTGCCCACTGGCCTCTGCCAAGACAATGCCCCTGCCACGGGGGGAGGCAGCCACCGTGGCACGTCTGCGGCACTTCTGCACAGGGACGTGGAGTGTGCCAGCGAAACTCAGTTGGCGAAAGTAGCCACTGGCCCTTGGGCCCTAATTTACTGAACCCTTGGTGTGGATCTGGGGACTCGAGACGTGCCGAGCCCCTGGCAGCGAGGAGCAGGCAGAATCGGGTGCGTCCTGCCAGGCCCGCAGGGAGGAGGAGGACGCCTTCTAGCCTTTACATCCGTGATGAGGCCGGGAGGTCGCTCAGCACGGAGCCCCTGCCTCGCATGCCTGAGGCCCTGGTCCCCCCCCGCCCTGCAAAATACTTAGGTACACTTCAAAACGTGATCATTAAAAAACAACTAAGAAATAAAGAAGGCCACCTGACATCAGCCTGGGGCTGCGGGACACCCAGGGCCCTTGTCCTCACTGTGCTCCTGAAGTGCCCATGTGCCGTCTCCAGGAAGGCCAGGGCCACAGGGCGCACCATGGCCTCTGGCCCCACAAATCCCTGGTGGACTCACCTCGGCGTGGAGCCCATCGGACGTGACGAGCTGGGTCACTGTCATTTCATTGGCTGTCAAGGTCCCCGTCTTATCAGAACAGATGACGTTGCAGCAGCCTGGTACAGAGACATTGGTTTAGGGAGAAGAAGGGTCACTGCCAGCAGCCCTGAGCCCGTGAACACCGAGGTCCAACGGCCACCACCCAAAGCTCTGCTCCATGATCCACAGGGAACCCTCCAGAGGGGCCCTCACCCAGCGTCTCCACGATGGGCAGCTTCCTCACAATGACCCGCTTCTTGGCCATCCGGAGCACTCCCAGGACCAGCGTCACCATGACAACGATGGGCAGACCCTCTGGAATGGCTGCCACGGCCAGGCTGGATGGACAGTCCCAGGAGCCACACTTCACATGGACTCAGGGACCACGTGTGTCCCCTGGGGCTGGCCACGCCTTTAGCTAGCGAGGCTTGTCCCCATCCAGTCTCCACCTGCAATCCTGGGGCGTGCCCGCTTCCTGTCCATCACCTGCTGCCCTGGGCCCCCCCTGCAGACCTGCTGGGGAAGTGACCCCTCCTAGGCAGCCCCAGCTTAGTAGGAGTTAGCATCTGTGGCTGTCTTTTAGTGCTTTTGCATTTAAATCATTCTTACTTATTAGAGGGACAAAAGTCTTTGGGTCCTTGAAAAGAAATTCTAGAATTAGCAATAAGTGGGAAGTGGCAGTGGGCGTGAGGGTCCCTCTGGGTCACTCGAGTTTCATTTTTCATGATTCTAGTGACTTAGATAGTTCCTGTGAGGAACGTAGAGAAGGAAATCGAGTCACGAGAAACCAGGACGCGCTTTGCCACCGAGCTGATCCACTATGGGCGGCTGCTCTTTTTAACTCCTCTGGACAATGTGACCCCCCCCAGAGCAGTGGTTGATTGGATGAGAGGAGAACATGTGACCCAGGCTGGGCCAATGAGATGCTCTCTCTTGGGAATGTGACTTGGGGCTGAGGTCCTTCTTCGATGCTCCCTCCCTTGGGCTCCTTGGGTGTGTCCACAGGTGAAGGGCCACAGGAGAGGCCTTTCTGGCTTGGGTTGCCAAGGCTTTGCCACACTGGGGCCAAAGGGTCCCACATTCCGCACTCCAGGAGGGGAGAGATGGCGCCAGGCCTGGGGTCTGCTTTAAACCCTTGGGTGGGGCCCAGGACAGGCAGGACTGCAGTGGGGCGCCACTGGGAGCCGCGGGCCTGGTGCTCCCCTGCTGTGCTCTCTACTTGGATGCGTGCTGGGAATTCCCCTTTAAGATTAAACCACAAAATTTAACAAAGCACGACAACCCAAACGGTCATCAGGGACAGGAAAGACTCTGCTGCCCACGGCACCTGGGCTGACTCGCCAACAGGTGGTCCGTGGGGGCACGGCCCGCCAGGGGGAACGTTCAGGACAGGTGACTCGCTCCAGAGCCGGGAGGCAGGGCTGGCTGCTGGGGCTGGAGGGACAGAGGGCTCAGGGTTCCCCCTGGGTGATGAGGAAAGGTTCCAAGGATGGAGGGGTGGCCGCTAGGGGAGAAAACTCCAGCAAGCGGGGTCGGTGGAGAGCCGACCGAGTCTCAGCAGAGGGCCTGAGCAGACCCTCCCGCCAGCTGCCACGGGGGCCCGCCAAAGTGTGACTTCAGTGACGCTGCGAGAACGCCAACTTGGAGCCACTCACCCCAGTTTATAGAGACTACCTGGGGGCAGAGGGACAGGGAATCTGTTGTCCGACAAGTGCCAGAAGAACGGGGGAAGGGCTGAGGTCTCTCCCCTGGGGACCCTGAGGAACCCCACAAGACACTCCCGAGGGCAGGCCTCCCCAGAGCAGGCCGAGGAGTCCAGTCTGGGGCCAGGCCCTCAGGAAGTGAGCCCAGGGCCAGTCTGAGAGGTGCTGAGCACTGGAACCCCACAGCCCAGGCCCTGCCCAGAACAAACCACCACGGCCATGCCCAGCCACACCGGAGCTGCTCGGCCTCCCAGGAGAGGCCCGACACCAGCAAAGTCCCTATTTTCAAACATTGGTAACAAATAATAATGATAATAATAATAATAATAATAATAAAAACAGTTCAAATAAAGCGCCCTTCCTGACTGCCTCCCCCAGGCGGCCCGTTTCCCCCCTGCACCACTAGACACCCCGCAGAGGGGTTCCGCCGGGTCTCCTGACGGGGTGAACGTGAGCAGGGACCCCGCTGGCCTCACACGGTGGGGCTCGGCCTGGCTGGGGACGCTCACTCAACTCAAACCACGCACGGGCCTTGGGCACACCAAGAAAGCCTGGGGCACGGCCAAGGAATGACTGGCACTGGTGCTCCTCATCACACAACCTGTAGGAAGTGGTCTGACTTCAGAGGAGCTAGAGGTGGAGGAGACGTGCATCTTGGAATTAAACAAACACAGTGCATGAATGGCGCCCTTTCACCAGGGGACAATGGGCCATTCAAGAACACGTTATATAAACCAAGACGACTGCGGGTGGCTAAGGGGCTGTGCCGGTTTCCAAGGGGACCGTGAGACGGCTTCCCTGGTTTATGGCACAGGCTGGCAAGGCCAGCTAAGCAAACAAGTACCGAGAGTCGTGACGGGCACTTCTTCTGGACGTGTCCACAGTAATAAAAAAAATAATCCACGCACTTGTAAAGAAGGGGCGTGGAAAAGCACCTTCCTGATCATCCTGAATGTCATTCAGGGCACAGGAATCAGGATACACTTTTATAAAGTATAATTCTCTCATCTTACCCATTTTGGAAAATCCTCTCTGTGGTTGCTACCTCTGATTGACGTTTGAGGTGACTGTAATCTGCCACTAGAAACTAGAAAGCATGATCCTATTTTTTTCTTTTTGGCAGTACTGGGAATTGAACGCTGCCCCCCCACCCCCGCAGGGCGAGGGCTGTCACTAGGCTGCAGGCCCACCCCTCCCATTCTGTCTTCTGAGGCCAGGTCTTGCTGAGTTGCTCGGGCTGGCTTGAACTTGCCATCCTCCTGCCTTGGCCTCCCAAGTGGCTGGGACACCACCTTTCAACAGCAGAGGTGAAGGCAGCGGATTTCTCTCGAGTGTGAGTTCACCGTGGATCAAGGGGGACAGTGAACAAGTTGGAAAGGAGCCTTAGGTCAAGGCACCAGTAATGGCCGGCAGCTCTGGGGGTGCGGTGGACACAGAAACCTTTTGGGTCGGCTCACAGAACTTTGCCAGTGTGTGAGGTCAGGACCGGACGCCTCCTTCTTGCAGGGAGATGTCTAAGCACCTGGCGTCTGAGGCTCTGCCTTCTCCAGGGGCCCTTGAGGCCCAGACCTTCCCCTCCCACGCCTGCAGCTGTGTCCCCTGAGCCTGCTGCTTGGGTGACTCAACCCTGCTCTCGCCCTGAGCCGGGGGCGGTTTCTGATCACAGTGGTCTCCTGGCCACTGTGTCACCCGCCCTGAGAGGTTGCAGGCTCTCAGCCCCCGGCTCCCAGAGTCAGGGGCTGGAGAGCCGTGAGCTGCCTAACCGCAGCCATCTCCTGGGGATGCCACGGGGCCTGGGCAGTTGCCTCCAGGAGGTGCTCGGATGCCAAGCTCTGTCCTCGCCACCCAGCCTCCACGTGTGCCTCTCCCAGCCTGACTCGCCCTTCCTGCTCTTCCTTAAGTGGCTCCCTCTCAAAGGCGTGCCTTTGACTCGGAATGGAAACCATCCATGGCCACCTCTCTGGGTCACTCCCCCCTCCTCCCTTTCAGTCTCCTCCTGGGGCAGTGCTCACGCTGGACTGTGACCAGCACCAACGCGCACTTAACTCAGTGCGTTTACTTTCCCCCTGGCCTGAGAGCCACAGGGCAGAGACCGCAGCTCAGGCCGCACTTGGGGGATGGACACAGAGAGCCCAGGTGCTCAACGAGTGTCTGGGGGGCAAACTAATGAGCCGCTGGCTGCCAAGGGCAGGGCAGGGACAGCGGGGAGAGGGAGGGCTCTACCCTGCCCGGGCGCGGCATGGGGCGCGGCTTGGGGCCTGGGTGCAGAGGTTGCGAGTCCTGCTTCCACTCCTAGATTCGGTAGCCCTGAGCAAGGGTGGAGCCCAGACCCTCACCCACTCTGTTCCAGGAGACAGTGGCCCCTGGGCAGCTGTGCGAGCACGGCTGGGCACCACATCTGCTCGGCTCCATGTCCAGCACCAGTCCACCCGGGACACCCCTTTAGCTTCTCCAAGGTCCTAGACCTGACTTCCTGCAGCCTCTCCCCCGGCAGCCTCTCCCCCTCCGCCTCCACGTGGGGGCCCCCTGTGCCCTGGCTCTTGCTCCCTTCCCCACACCTTCCCCAGCCCATCTGCTGTTATGGGTGACACATCCAGGTCCTAACTCCTAACGTGGCCAGTGTGGCCTTATGTGGAAACAGGGTCCTTGCAGGTGTAATCAAGTTCAGACGTGGAGGCCACAGGGTGCCCACCCTTGTCCACTGTGACTGGCACCTTGCTGGCCAGTGGCAGAGGCAGAATCCCAGTGGAGGCTGGGGGCCAGGGTCCCACTCTTAGCCCATGAGCAAAGGGGGACAAGAGGAGCTCGACCACCAGCCGTCAGCATGTTGCAACAGCCGCCAGGCCCCTTCCCCGCCAGGCAAGTGCGGGGCCCTGGTGCGTCTCCCCACCCCCCGCCCCCCACCTCTGCCCGGGGAGCCTCACCTGACCCCGATGGTGAACATGCCGAGCACCGGTTTGCCTCGCAGCCAGCCGAGGAGCAGGAGCAGACCTGGGGGGACAGCACCCCGTGGGCTCTCGAGGCTGCCGCCGGCCTGAGCCTGCGGTGCTCGGTGTGAAGTGAGCCACGCCCTCGGGGACCCAGCACCACCCTTCCTTTTTAAGGAAGGTATTTTATGCCTAAAAATCCTGGCTTCACTTTTTAGGAAAGGCTCCGGCCAAGTTTGAGTTAAAGAAACAATGAGGCCGAGCGCTTGCCTAGCACGTGTGAGGCCCTGGGTTCGATCCCCGGCACCACATAGAAATAAAGATAAAATAAAATAAATACAGGTATGTGTCCACCGACAACTAATAATAATAATAATTGAAATAATAATAAAGAAAGAAACAGTGGGCTCCTGCTGGGCTGTCTGCGTTTTCGCAGCCCTGGTTATTACATATTCTACACATTATTCCAATCGTTTCCCACGTGCCGTGTGCAGCCAGGACTCCCCTGGGTGCTTGGTGTGGCAAATGATAGCTGGTCCTGTGAAGGGCAGATGGGCCACTGCTTTCTCCTGTGAGGGCCCTGGGGACGGAACCCAGGGCCTCAGGCCTGTGAGGCAAGCGCTCTACCACAGCCACACCCCGACCCTGGGCTCTGTGTCCTAAATCATTTCATCCTGTGTGCTCCTGGTTGAATTTCCCATTTTCTCCTTTTGTCATTTACCAAATGACACTAAACGCCAGGCCCTGCACAGGACACTGGAAACATGGGGGTCACTGCAGACAGATCCTGGGGGCAGAAGTAGCCTGATTGGGCTTGGACCCCTGAAAGATGTTCAGGCACCGGGGAAAAGCACGGAGCTGCCAGGTGTGGCCTCAGTTTCCCCATCTGTGCAATGGGGACTGTGACCATGCTACCCTGGCGGAGTTGCTGGGGCCCTGGGTTTGATCCCTGGTGCTGCAGAAGTGCTCAGCACAGCCCTGGCCTCTGTCCATGCCCACCTGTCACCATCCCCCTCAGGAGCAGTGAGGAGGAATGGCAGGGGCATTGATGGTGCCCTGTAAAGATCACTGGCTTCTTGTCTGCCGTGACTAGAGCCCAGGACGTGTCATGCTGGGAGGTTGCGGGGTGGGGGCACAAGCCGCGATCAGCTGTGCAGCTCAGTCCTCAACCGAAATCTTAGCAGCAACCCAAAGCACTGGGGTGAAGCAGATCAGAGGGGCGGCACCAGAGGCACCAGGCTGTTACCACCCTCCCTGCTCCAGGACGCTGATGCTTACTCCCAGGGACCCCCGAGAAGCCACTGGGAATATCTCCCTCAAATCCATGTTCAGGGACAAGGCTGGTGGCTTGGAGGTGGCCAAGCTCAGAGTATTTATGCCAGGGGAGCTGGCAGTATGCCCACCCTGAGGGTGTTTTCCAGCTTCCCTGCATGCCCCTGGCATGGACGTGCCCACTGAGCTGCGCTCCGGCTTACCGTGGAGTAAAGGTCACACAGGGCAGCGACCCACAAGGCCTTCACGTTGGAGGGCTGATTTTCCAAAGATATTTAGTCTCTTGGAAAGGCCTGTCCATAGTCTACTTTGACAACCTGCCTTGAAGTGCATTTACTGCGCATTTGTTCTTGGGGTGCCTGAGGGGGGATGTTGGGGTTCATCCCCTTGGCAAACCCTGGAGAGCAGGGGCAGGGGCCAAACACTTTTGGAATGGGAGCTGGGGAATGGCTGGGCTTTGCCTGTCACCTGGTCTCTGATGCATTTCGTCTCTGCCACTGTAGCTGGGACAGCCACACAGCCTGAGAAGGCAGGCTGCCCCAGCAGAGCACTCCCGATAAACCTGACATTTGAATCTCCTACGGTTTCCACACCATGACATACAACTCTTCTTCTGAGTTTAAAAAAGATTGTTTAGAGACTTTAGAGACATCCTCTGCCTGCTGGACACACAGAAACAGGCAGCAGACCCAGGGCGGCCTGGGAGCCCCGATTTCCAACCCCAGCTCTAGAATGCAAGAGAGGCCTTGGGGCAGCCAGGGCCCCTGGGGCATTCTATTCTGCCAGAAATGTCTGGTCTGTGTGCAGCCCCAAAGTGCTGCCCTGGGTGGCCAGGTACACAGAAAGCCTGCAGGTGGGAGGGGGAGCAGGTGGGAGGGGGCGTAGGTGGGAGGGGGCTGCAGGTGGGAGGGGGCTGCAGGTGGCAGGGGCGTAGGTGGGAGGGGCTGCAGGTGGGAGGGGGCTGCAGGTGGCAGGGGCTGCTGCTTCTCCCAAGAACTTTCTCTGGCTCGCGGTTTTGGCCAGACTCGCCAGGACTTCCCCTGCCTCCCTCAACTGCTCCCTTATCAATCAAATAAACATCTGCTGGCTGAGAATCTAGGGCGAGCCAGGCACTAATCCTGAAGGCTGGGAATGGAGGACACTGACTCAAGGCCAGCCCCTTAGCGAGAAGGAGGTGAAGAGACCAGCACAGCCCCTTGGGATGTCAGGGCTGAAGGCCTCCATTTAGGGTGAGGCCGTTTGGTGTGCTGTCAAAAGGCCGGGCAGCCCTGGGCCAGGCAGAGCCTGCTCCGAGGCACAGATCTGTGGCTGCTTCGTGGCTGAACTACATTTCCCAGCCTCCCTTGCAGCTAGGCAGGTCTCATGACTCTGTTCTGGCCAAGAGAAACAGGCAAAGGCCATGGCTCCTCCCCCTGGTGGGTGCCTTGAAGCCTTCCCCCAGGAGCCCAGGTCCTGGTTCCCCACCTGCCGGCTGGGAGGAAGGGCAGCCTCCAAGGACCGAGGGGGAGGCAGAGCAACAATACGGCAGGGGCCTGGGCCGGGGCAGCACATGGAGGGGAGCACCCAGGAAAGCCCCTGGACCAGAACGGCCCCTGGACGGCGGTGAGCCAGAGGCAAACGCTGACTCTGAGGCCGGTACAGCGTGGGCTGCCTGTCAGCCACTCCGCCTGCTCTGAGGCGAAACCTCCTGCATCCGTTGGAGCGTCCCTGACCCCAACCCCAGCCTCATGCATCTGAGCAGCAAGATCCTCGAGGGACACCAGGTGCCCTGCCCCAGGACAGCTCCCCATCTCTGGGCCCAGCAGGGCAGCCCCTGACTCACCAATGATGCCGAAGGAGAAGAGCGTCAGCTGCTTCCCCAGCTTGTCCATGCTCTTCTGCAAAGGGGTTTTAGGTGTCTGAAGGGGAGAGGACGACGGGCTTAGTAGACGGGACCCCACAGCGTGCCCTTGCTGTCCTATAGTTTGCTCTGAGTGACAGTCACACAGAGCACACAAGGGCCATCCACTGGCCTCTGCCCTCAAGGTCAGTGCCCATTGACGTCTGAAAGTTACATCATGGTGAGCACCCTAATCAATGTTCTAAAATGAAAATTAAACTAAAACTAGGCTCACACGGCGCCCGCCTCCGTCCCCAGGCTGGGCAGGGCCAGTCTGCACCCAGGGCGATTTCAAACCCAGGCCCAGCCCACCACCACCCAGAGCCCCGCCCCTTACCTCTTCCGCCTGCATCATCCTAAACACTTCGCCGAACTGAGACTTTTCCCCTGTTCCGATCACGACCCCCTGTGTCCAGGAGAGGGTGAGGGAGAGAGGTGTCAAGGGAGGAGCGAGGCTGGGCACGGGGAGGCCCCGGGAGCCCAGGGCTTACCTGGCCCTTCCCACACTGCACCAGGGTGCCCATGAAGACGATGTTGGTCAGCGAGCTCAGGTCCTCCCCGCCTGCCAAGGGGGTGTCCGTCTTGCTGCATGGCTCGGCCTCCCCAGTAAAGCTGGATTCGTCCACCAGGAGGTCTGTGACCTAGGGGACGAGAGGAGACCCGTGGAGCTCCCCTCTGGCACTGATGCCCGTTGGTGGCACCCAGCACCTTAACAGATGTCCAACAGCAAAGGGCCGCAGCTCAGGGAATGAGGTCCCTGCCCCGGGAGCGAGAGGAGCTTGGGACCAGGGTCCCTGGCTCCCGGCTTCCTACCTTCTGCCGTCCTCAAAGCTACGGAAATGCCCACGTAACTAGAGATCACCGAGGACTGGTTCTTCCAGAACAGCTTCCCAGAGCCCCTGGACCTCCTCCCAGACCCCGCCCGCAGCTGAGGGTCCCTACAGTCCTGCTCCGTGACCGTGACCGAGTGCTCTGGTTTGGATACGGCTTCAGGGTCCCCGAGGGCTGAACTCTGACCCCACAGTGAGGTATTAAGGGGGGGGAACTTGATCTGCCTGTGTTCTGAGGTGGCCTCCAAGGGACAGGACTAGGCAGGGTCAGCATGAGAAGAGACACACACGCCCCCCTCTTGCCATCTGACGCCCCGGGGTGCCCTGGGACTCTGCCAGCAGGAAGGCCACCACCAGACGCAGCCCTTGACCCTGACCTCCGAACCATGGGCCAAAGTGGACCTCTTTTCTTGAGAGCTGCCCAGCCTCAGGGAGCTCACTGTGGTCACAGGGAGCGAGGTCCTCCAGGGACACTCTGACGTTAGGTTACGGCAGGAGCACCCACAGGGCAGGGCCACACCCACGCCCCCAGGAAGGAGAAGGAGGTACCACCCCCCGGCGGGGCACCTGGCACTGTCAGACTGCACCCAGCGCTGTCCCCCCGCCCAGTTCTGTCTTCATTTCAGGGCAGGGACAGCGAGCGGGGCCCACTTCCTGCTGAGCCACGAGGCCGCCCATCTGACCAGGGAGGAGAAGACGGCGCCTGCTCTCCCCATGGACAGTCGAGAGGCGTGGGTCACTTTAAGAGCTTTGTAAACCTAGTGCCTCCTGCACCTGCCTGGGCCTGAGGTGCGTGTCCAGTAAAGCTGGACCACGGAGCCTGGGGCTGGCGGACGCTCCCCGGGGTGAACAGAGCGCCACTGTCCAGCGGAGTAGCAACTGGGAACCCAAAAAGCACGGATGGACGGCATGGCCTCATCAACACACAGGGGACAACTTGATTCCCCACGAGCAGGGCAGGAGGGAGCCCGCTGAAGTAGCAGACGTCGTTCAGAACTCGAGACGCCGTTTCAAAGACCCACTGCAGAGACCTGGGACTGTGCGGCTGCGCTCAGCCGCCGACGTCCCACGTCAGGCCACAGCGCGTCTCATCCTCACACTGACCCTGGGAGCCAGAGACGAAGAAGAAACTGAGGCTCTGAGAGGCAAATCCCTCGAGGCATACACTGGGAGACGCAGGGTCAGGGCGCCAACCAGGGTCCCTGGCTCCCGGCAGGCAGGCTTGCCGTCTGCGCCCTTGCCAGGGAATGTTGGGCACTCTGCATCCACAACCACCCTGTGGGCATCATCACCCTCTTTAACAGGAGGAAACGGAGGCACAGAGACCTTAAGTGACTTTCTCAAGGTCACACAGCTTGGATTACAGACAGGGTTCAAACCCAGCCTCAAGCTCAGGCCTACGGCACCAACCGCCTTCATCTGTGGCCTCTCCCTGTCCTACAGTGTCACCTGAGGTGGTCAGGAGCCTTATTGGCTTCCTGGAGGAGTCCCTGTGGTACGAGGCCTCCCAGAGCAGTGTTTCCCAGTGGACCTGTGGACAGGGCTTGGCCACGTGAACGTGGTTTCTCCATGGACCCACACGCCCCAGACACACAGCAGACGCTGAGGGCTAGCGCTGGGCATAGACACAGAGGGGGAGTCCACCTGGCGCCAGGCCCAGCTGCTATGGGTCTGTCCACAGGGAGACGCCGGCGCTGCCTGGGGTCTAGCCGTGGGGACTAGCCGTGGGGACTAGGTGCTGGCTTCCTCCCTCTCCACCCCTCGAGGGTCCCGACGTGGCCCTGTAGACACACCGGGCAGGCTGCCAGCCGTCACGCCTGCCCCACGGCCGAGAGCTCGCTTGGTCTTGGAGGGATCCCAGAACAGACCCCCATCCGCGCACGGGCCAGACGTCACTTCCCCTGAGTGCCAGGAGCCCGGCACGGTCCTGCAAGGCTGTGACAGGGACCCACAGGGTCGCGGACTGGCCCCTGCCCCGTGGAGGCGCCTGCTGCCCCTCTGCCTTCCCTGCTCCGTCTCCCTCCCCGCCAAGGCAGACCAGCGTCGCCCTCACCCCCACCCCCCCGGCTTAGCGCCCACAGTCGCTCCCGCTAGAGAGCCCCTCACCAGCCTCGTCCTCGTCCACCGGGACACGTTCAGAACCCCCTGTGGGTGTCTGGACCTCAGGTGGCACCGAACCACATAGATGCTGGTCCACTCCACCACCCCCAACACACCAACTCTGGGGACGCCGAGCTCATAAACTAGGCGAGTAGGTGACCAGCACTGGGGACCAGCAGTGGGGACCAGCAGTGGAGACCATCAGTGGAGACCAGCAGTGGGGACCATCAGTGGGGACCAGCAGTGAGGACGAGCAGTGGGGACCAGCATTGGGGACCATCAGTGGAGACCAGCAGTGGGGACCATCAGTGGGGACCAGCAGTGGGGGCCAGCACTGGGGACCAGCACTGGGGACCAGCAGTGGGGACCAGCAGTGGGGACCATCAGTGGGGACCATCAGTGGAGACCAGCAGTGGGGACCAGCAGTGAGGACCAGCAGTGGGGACCAGCATTGGGGACCATCAGTGGAGACCAGCAGTGGGGGCCAGCAGTGGGGACCAGCAGTGGGGACCATCAGTGGGGACCATCAGTGGGGACCAGCAGTGGGGACTAGCAGTGGGGACCAGCAGTGGGGACTAGCAGTGGACATTAGCAGTGGACATTAGCAGTGGGGACCAGCAGTGAGTGGAACAAGGACAATGAGTGGCTGGCATTCAGCTCTGAGGCAGCGTGGGGACAGGGACCCAGATTTTCAGACCACAGCTGGCCGTGGGCCCGGGGCCCTGGGGAGCCCCGGTGACGGGGGGCACTGCGCTAAGAGGAGCGTGCGACCTGTGAACGGGGACGAGGACGCAGCGCTCAGCTTCCTTGCCTGGTGCGTGTGGGGGCAGGCGTGTGTGCGAGGTGGGGGCAGGGGTGTCCCCCGCAGTCCCCGAGCTCACCTCGGTGAGGCGGATGTCGGCGGGGATCCGGTCTCCGACGGAGAGGGACACGACGTCCCCGGGAACCAGTTCTCGGGCGAGCAGATGCTGCAGCTTCCCGTCCCGGACGCTGCGGGGGCGGGAGAGACGGCCGCGTGGGGACACTGGCTTGGACGCCCCCGGACGGACGCAGCAAGGGCAGGGGCGCGTGTCTCCCCGTCGCGGGCCAGCCCTCGCCGCTTCAGGGTCGTGTTATTCTTTAAACTTGGGGACACCCAAAGCCTTGAGGACCCTGGACCTCATCTGAGCAGTGAGGCTCCTGCCGCGTGCTCTGCCTGCAGCAAGGCCAGGCTGCCGGCTCTCCGGAAGCTTCCGCAGGGCAGGGCAGCCCTTGTAAGGCCTCCTAATGAGGCCACCTCCTGTGCTTAGAGAAGATGCCACTTGGGGGCAGAGCCAGCTCAGAGGCTGGGGGACAGGCTGGGCAGAGCTGGAGGGCAGCCTAGGTGCCCCAACACCCAGGGCCGCTTTCCCAGGGCACAGTCACCTGCCCTGGGACACGGTCGGCTGTGTGGTACGGGGTCCCCTGGAGTCCCACCCGCCTCGGCCCAGCTGTCCCGTGGCCTCCTGCCTCCCTCTGCCCCCCACACCTGGCAGCCAGGCAGGAGGCCGGCCGCTGCTCCTTCCTGCTCCAAACTCCAAGCCTCTCCCAGGACCTGGGAATCAAACCCCAAGACCTGCCGAGTTCCTCCGGCCGGGGCCACCACCTGCCACTCCTGCTCCTGATCCCATCCCATCCTGAACACACCCAGCACCTTCTAGTCTTAAGGGGCTTGGCAGGCTTTGAATGATGGGTGGACGTTCCTCCTTGTGTACAGAATTGGACCTTATTCAGGATCCACCCTTCTCCCACAGCCATTAGGAGCAGGTCCTCCCTGGCTAAGATCAGCAGGTGGTCCCATCTCCCACCTGTAACAGGGTTAGACATGGACACTCATGCAACCCTGGCCCCTGGGACTTATAACAAGGCTTTCCTCACTCTGTGTATACACACACACACACACACACACACACACACAGCCTCTCCTGTGGGACCTTGGCATGTTTGGCTATGAAACCTGGAGCAGTGGCAGCCTTCTTGGGACCATGAGGGGGCCTTGCAGAGAACAAAGCTAATGAGCTAAAAATGGCAGAGCAAAGGGGTGAAGAGACCAGGCCCTTGGTGCCAGATGAACTAGCTCACTGCACTGTCCCGGCCTTAGATCCCTTGCTATGAGACAATTCAATTTCCCTGTGGTCTGAACGAATGAGTTTCCTGTTCCTCGTAGCCAAGAGCGCCTCTGGAAGACCCGCCTGTTGACCCTGCTGTTCTCCCGTCGCTGGTTCCTTTTCCTCGGGCCCCAACTAAATGTCAGCTCCTCCACAAATGTCAGGGCCAGGCAGCTGGTGACAGCTATGGAGAGCTTCCCCTTCCTCCTCGGGGAACACACGTCCAACGTCCCTCCTGAGCTCCCCGAGGCCGGGCCGTCCCACTCCGGCCACGTGTCACCTCAGTGCAGTCTCCCCGGGCACACAGCAGGTGCTCAATAAACATGGGGTGACTGCACGGGGACAGAGGCGACACTGGAAGGGCCTGCATGGCCGTGCCCCTCTGGCCAGGGCGCTGCGACCTCTTCAGTGCTCTTCCCGCTCCCCCGGCTGCCGTCCCTGCTCCTCTGGGAAACGAGGTTCCTTTAGCAGTGGCTTCTGGGGACAGCAGTAATGTGACGGCTCCCCTGCAGGCCCAGCCTGGTGCTTGGACCCTCAGCTCGGGTCATCAGACCACACGAACCACCCACGTCCCCTTTGCGCACGCGGCCCTGGCACGTCTGGGCTTGCGGCTGCCCGGCTGGTCTGACGAGGGCGCCCATGGCCGGCACTGTCCCCGGCGGCGCTTCGGGCTGGCTCTCCTCCCTCATGCCCGGTGCTGTCCTCCTCCTGTCCCCCTCTGCCTGTGTCTCCGCTCACACTCCCTGGAGTGCTGGTCCCCGGGAGATGGCTGTCCCCCACTAGTGTCCAGCCTGCTGCCCGGGGCTGCAACTCATGCCCAAGGCTCTTCCCCAGGTCTGCCCCTCAGCACACAGGGAGGTGCCACACGTCTGGGTCCTCTAGTGTCCGTGCCCGGTCGGGGTGGACTCCCGTCGCTTTATTTCAAGCAACAGCGCCCGTCCGGGATGGCGCTCAGCCTGCACCGGCGGCCACCTCAGCAGGGGTTAGGGAGAGACCTGGCCCTTCGCGGAAGCTCTGCTTTTTACAAGGAGATAAACAGGAGTCCAGCTCAGAAGAGGCCACTGCCCCCTCCTCGCCCGCGAGCTTCCTTTCAGTCCTCAGAGGAAGGGCCCTGGTGGCCGTTCCTGGCCGGCGCTGGCCGAGGCGCCCAGTGCCTTGTGGAACTAAGACCCTGTTCCTGCGTCACCCAGCGCATCTGAAGTCCTCGGCAGGCACATGCTGCGGGGATGCTGTGCCGTGCAGGTCTAGGACCTTTCTGGAAGCTTCTACAGCACCACGCTGCACTGAGCCCAGGAAGGACAGCCTTTTCCTCTGACATCGTTGGTAAGCGCAGCGGGACAGCACTTGTCAGCTGGGAGCGTCCAGGCAGGCAAGAGGCTCCGGGGGCTGCTGTGCAAACGCCCCGTGCTCACACTCCCAGGCCACCCAGGCCAGCGGCTGTCCTGTGGGCCAGGAGTACCCGGCCCTGGGTCCGAACCTCCTCAGAGTCACCCTCCCTCCCTCTCCCCTGAGGTGACAGTTGCATAATGCAGTGAGGGGACTATGATCCACTGCTTCCCGGGCTCTACCCAAAGCCACTCCTGCCCCTGTAGCCCCCAGGCTGAGAACCCCGATTTATACACTGATGATGGAGCTGAGGCCCAGAGAGGCTGAACAACATGCCCAAGGCCACACAGCCACCAGCTGTTGAGACCAGGTCTCGTAACTCCTGGTGGGATATGGTTCTCCCGATGGACAGATGGACAGCACAAGAATACGACTTCTGCCGAGCACCTGCCGAGCTTGCCAGCCTCCCCCGCCGCCCCCCCTCCCCCGGGGCTCCTGTGATGAGCCCGAGGGTCCAGGGAAGCCCAGACTTACCAGTTACATTCTGGGGGAACCAGCTTGGTGAGTTCCTCCAGAGACTTCTCTGACCTATACTCCTGGCAGGAATCACATTGGACACGCTGCTCAAAGGGGGGCGCGCCACAAGCACCCCCTGCCCAGGTCACCCTGCCAGGGACTGGAAATACACACCTGGATGAAGGCCACAGTGACCACAATGAGCACAGCCTGTGGGGGAGGAAACAGGCATGAGTGAGGCCGGGGAGGCCAGGAGGCCGGGAGGCCGGGGAGGCCGGGGAGGCTGGGAAGGCCAGGAGGCCGGGAGGCCGGGGAGGCTGGGCCTTCCAGACATACTTCCTTTCATGAATTAAGCTCACTGTGTGGACATTCGGGAAACAGACAAGGTCCCCTCCCACCCTGCACCAAGATCAGAAAAATCCCACTTCCTGGGGGACCCGTATCAGGGTCCCTATCTAGATTTTTTTGCATAGACACAACATGACATCATGTGACACGGGCATCTTCTTTTGTAAACTGCCATTTTTGCTCTCAATGATACGTGGAAGACGGGTCCCACGCCTGCAGATGAGGGTCGAACCGCAGCCCCCTACACAGAAGCTGGGCTGCGTGGGACGGGTCTGCCTTTGACTTTAAAAGAACAACTTGCACAGACAGAAAGTGGGTGCCAGCCATCAGGGGCGGCCAGCAGCGGCTCTCACACCGTGGCTCCATTCCTAGGACCAGGCGGACCCCAGGACCAGGCAGGCTGGTGGTCACCAGGTTCAGGGGACGGCAGCGGGAAGGGACTGCTGGTAGGGACGGGTCTCCTCTGGGGCCGAGGAAAGAGCTTTGGAATTCCACAGAGGTGACAGCTGCATAATGAAGTGAGTGGACTATGATCCTCTGAATCGGTCACTTTAAAATGACCCAGGGTTTATGTGACTCTCACCTGAATAAAAACTTTTACGAGGCGCACCTTACTTTTTAAAGGGGGTTATCTCAGGGTGGTGGGGCAGGGGCAGCCACGCCTGGTAGGGTGGACCCGCGCAGCTCGCGATCAGCCCTCCCACCCCAGGGGCAGGGGAAAGCGTCCACTGCCCCCTCCTCCTAGCCACCTCCTGTCCGCCCAGGAGGACCAGCCAGCTCGCGCCTCGGTACGGGGACAGCAGGCGTGGACCGGCTTTCTTTCTGTCCACTTGTGTTTCTGGCTCACAGCCAGCTATTTTCCCCTGGGAGCGGAGACGGGCCACCCCGGGCAGCCCCGGCCGGGAGCCGGACGCCGCACACTCACCATGGCGATGCTGACCGCGTCCTCATACTCTTTGGTGAGGACGCTCACCAGGGCAGATCCCAGCAGCAGCAGGATCAGGGGGTTCTTAAACTGCAAGACACGAGAGGGACAGGCAGGCTGTTCGCATCAGAGGCCAGCCTGGGCCTCTCACCTGGGGACAGCAGGTGACTCGGGCTTCAGGCAAGGCCGGGCTTCCCTGACCCTGACCGAGAGCTGGAGGAGGGGCCACCCAAGCCCAGGTTCTCCCTGCCTGAAAGTCCACCACTGAGGGCTATCCTGATGCTGTCCCCAGCCAGACCCCGGCCCCGCCTTTGAGCCTCGGTCTCACCTTCCACCTCTCCACGTGGCCAGGTCGGGAGCCTGGCCCACCACGGCCACACAGACCCCCAGCCCTGGACATCACAAGCACCCGAGCCTGGACACCAATCTGCTCCTGCAACTGCCTCTGTGGGCTGCGATGGTGTCCCCTTCTGAACAGGCGCTCCGAAAAGGTCCCCCAAGCACGTTCACTTACTGATTCTGCATCTGCCCCTTCACTTTACAGACACTTGACGGAGCTCAAGTTACAGAGGAGTGACAGGAAGCACACGCTCCAGCACCCAGACACAGGACGGGAAAGAGCAAGGCACAGGTCAGGACAGAGGAGAGTTCGAGTGTCAGAAGCAGGTCACCGTGGTTTAAAGCTGGGCTACGTTTTGGACCCTGGGCTTCCCAACAGCCAAGGCACAAAGGGAAATGGGATCAAATGTGTCACTCCTGCTGCTCATGAGAAGTGCTTCAGCTTCATGCCAGAGGGGTGTGTGAAGGGCTCCAAGCCCACCCTCACCCCCAGGGTCCCCCTGTGCTTCTCCCCTGCACGAGGGACAGAGCTCTTTGGGGGTGGCGTGCCAGCAGCCCTGAGCTGGCCTCCCCAACTGTTATGACCCTTTAAGAAGGAGCAGCACAAAGACATTTCCCCTTCTCAGCTGCATCCTCCTATGATCTGACCCATCGCCTCCACTGACTGCTACAAGCCGTTTCCCCAGGACTCAGCCCACATCTGTCCTGAGGTTCCTCGTCCTCTCAGGACCCAGAACTGGTCTGAACGTGTGGCATGCTGGGCCTGGTCTCAGGAATTTGAGAGCCTCTACCGTGACCCAACCAGAACCTCCTGCAGCCCCTGACTTCGCCAGGCCTCAGCCTGCTCTTGGCTGGTGACGTATGTGGCCATGAGGGTACATGGCCTGCCCACGGGCCAGCACCTTGTAGGTATCTATAAATGGCGACCACCAGGAGAGCCAGACTGACTAGGAAGGGTCACCACTGACTGAGTACAGGACAGTGGCCACCTGAGTTCCAGAGAGTGGCCCCAGATCAGGGCCTTGATCCAAGGGGAAGTCTGCCTCATCCTCCTTCCCAGGGCTGGGCTGGCCTCTTCACACCTTCAGAGAGAACCACACACACCTCGCAGCCAGGGCCCGTGAACCCACACCCACCCCTGACCACAGGACGTGCGGTCGGCAGCCAGGACAGCAGCAGAACTTCCCACAAAACCCCGAGACCTGCACCACTGGGTCCAAGACAGACCTCAGGGGACAGAACTACAGCCTTCCTCACCAGGGGGACGTCCTCCGTGTGCAAACAAACCACCCGCTCACTCTGAGGGCCTCTGAGAGTGACTTCAGGGACACAGCACCCAAGGGCAGTGGGTCGGCTCGGTCAGACCCCAACTCTAGCAAACCAGCCACGGAGCGCCGTGTTCCAGGCGGGGAAACGGCTCAGGACGAGGTGCCCTCGAGTATCCCTGCCTGGAATTCAGCAACCGAGGCGCTCAAAGGAACTGAGTGGCCCGGGACCCACGTCTCGGAGAACAGCCTGATTCCAGCCAAACGGCTGTGCCCGGCCAGGGAGGGGGGCCATCGTGCGGAGGGGCAGGAGGCTGGGCTGGGCTCCAGCGCGCACGGACGGTGCCAGCCTGCTTCCTGGTAAACTGCACAACGTCGGCATTTATCACTCTCATTTTCTCACCAGGAGAAGCTTAGGTCCACGGGAGAGGGATTGAGTAACTTGTCCAAAGCTACCGACTGGAGACCGGGATTTGACCCGGGTCATCCGATTCTAATCCATGACTTTTGTTGTTGTTGTTTTGTTTCGTTTTTGTGGTGCTGGAAACGGAACAAGCAGGCAAGCGCCCATCCACTGAGCTACACGGCCAGCCCCGGCCGTCCCACTCCAATCTACCTACCCCGGGGCCCTATGTCTTGGGTCCATAAGGGCCCAATTCCCAGTGGTAACCCATGAGATGGCAGAAGGCTGCCTCAGGAGGAGGAGAGTCCCTGTCACCAGAGGAGGACCCCTGGTGCACAGCAGGAGCTGGACAGACAGACAGAATTGAGTCCAGGACCCTGGGAGCCCCAGCCACCCTCAGCCCCGTGTCCCTGCAGGCGCCCACAGAGGCCAGCCTGAGCCCACAGGGTGTGACGGACGAGCAGGTCCTCGCTGTAAGGAGTCTGACATGTCACCCTGGAAGGCCCTGGCTGGCCACGGCGGCGAGCCCCTGGTGGGAGGGAAAGAGGACCCTCTCCCTCTTCCCAACACTGGGGTTCTGGGAGGCTTGAGGGCCGCCATCACCCGCCCGGCTGGGAACCTGTTTTGGTGCCAGAGTGCGTCCATGAAGCTCACCCTCAGGGCCCCAAGAGTGACCCAGGGAGCAGCAGGGGCCACTAGGACAGGAGATGGAGAACGCTGTGAGGACAGCGACTGGTCCCGGAACTGCCAACACAGAGCCTCCGACACGGGCCCAGAGGGAAGGCCGCTGAGCCCAGGGGCCCAGGAGCCAGGGAGTGGGGAGCCGTGGAACCAGGCAACCCCGTCCCCGAGGCCTCCTGACCTCCTGGAGCCCAAGGCGGGCTCTGTCCCCTGCTCCCGCTTCCTGCTGGCCTCGTCAGCACTAGGTTACAGCTAAGGCCCAGCGTTCTGGAGCCAGAGCCTGGCTGTGCCGTCAGCGTCACCCCTTCTTCTCTGTGTGACTTTAGGGTCGGTTTGACAGATAAAATATGGGACACCCAGTTAAATGTGAATCTCAGATGAACAAGGACCAGTTAAGAAGTGCAGTTAGGTCCAGCGGGACAGACGGACACACCTCCAAACTGCCTGTCGTCTATCTCCATGAGATTCAGTCTGAGCGGGGCACCTGTGATTTTATTTCCTAATTCTGACATCCCTACACACCCCGGGGAAATAGGTCAGTGTCTCTGTCCTCCACTCTCCCCTCTGCAAAACGAGGAGGAGGGGGACCAAGTGGGCCCGGCCACAGTCGGAGCCCCGAGTGTCATCAATATCCTTCACGATCACAGCGCTGGGCCTCTGGTCACCACTCAGGGTGCCTCCTGCCAGCTCAGGCAGCCTGGAGGGGGGCGGGAGACTGCTTATCTTGTAGAGCACCCACCCCAGCCCCAGGCAGGGCCTGTCCAAGACACCCTCGGTCAATATTTACAGAGTGCCCGGAGGCCCCACCTGCCCGGCCCGGGCACCTGTGGGCCTACCTGGTCCAGGTACTTTTTCCATGCAGGCTCCGCGTTGTCAGCCACAAACTCGTTCCAGCCGTGGACCAGCCTGCGCTGCGTCACCGCAAACTCCGACAGTCCGTTGTCCAAGTCCACCTGGAAGGGGCCGGCCCAGCACCAGCTCACGGAGGGTCCCGCCAGGACCGAGGAGCCCCAGCCGCAGACCCCATGGGAAAGCCGGCCACTTCCACAGGGACGAGGAGGGTGGGGTCATCCCCAGAAGAGAGGGGACTTATTCAGAGACCCCAGCAGATGGGGCAGAGTGGGCAGGGACAGGCACAGACTTTTTCGGTAAGACCACAGGGTTCCTTCTACGATGACCGCCGGGAGAGGGCACTGGGCCCCAGCGTCAGCAAACGGGACTACAGAGGTGTGTGGACAGAGGAGCGCAGAAGCAGGGCTTTCCTGAGTTTAAACATGAGCCTTGGGAAAGAAACCTGACATTTCCTCCAAAAATTAAGCACAGAATTAGCTCAGGCCCAGCAATCCTACTGCCAGGTCCAAACACCAAGAAAACTGGACGTGGGTCTCTGGGAGGTCTGCACACGGCACTCCACACAGAGACGTAAGCGACCCCCTGCCCACGGGCGGGTGGCTGGAAGAGGGGTCTTGGGGTGCACACGCAGTGAGTGTCAGCTGGCTTTAAAGATTCTGACTTGTGCTACAAGGATGGACCTTGAGGGGTCAGGTAACTAAAGACACCAGGGCTAGGGGGACACGGTAGGACTCGGCCATGTCAGATTCAGAGGCAGAAGAGGGTGGCGGCTGCTGGGGGTGGGGTGGCACTTGATAGGGACAGTTTCCACCTTGCAAGATGAAACCGGTTCCAAGGTGGAGAACACTGACCCTGCACACAGCGTGAGGGATCCCAACACTAAAACGTAGGCTTGCAGGTGGCGCAATAGAGCGCGTCACGCCACGTGTCCCACTGCCACCAAAGTCATGAAAACAGACCGTGGGGGCTGCCCCGGGCAGCAGTACTTGCTGAAAGGATCGTCTTGTGCATTCATGGTGCCAGATGCTCCTGAGAGCTCGTCACTTAGACTAACAGCACTAATTAAGAGTCACTGATAACGTGGGGCAGTGGTGATGGGCGGCCGGTGGCAAAGTTTCCTTGTTTTAAAAGGTCAACAAGGAAGCTGTACGTGGTGGCAACAGGGGAACTGGGCTGACTTCTTGATTCTTCTGAATAGGGAAAGAAAAGCAATCGGGCTTTCAGGTGGGAAAATATAGGAGAGGAAGAAAACAGTTCCTCTCCTGTGAATGCCGCCTGCAGGACTCAGGACAGACTTCTGGATTCTCGGGAACAGACTGGCCCGAAACAGTGACTTCCAGCTTCCTTGAATGGTGACACGTGCCCTTTAAAACTGAACCTGGGGTGCTCCACCACTGAGCTCCACCCTCATCCCTTTTTATTTTTATTTTGAGACAGGGTCTCACTCACTTGCCCAGGCTGGCTTTGGACTTGGGATCCTCCTGCCTCAGCCTCCCAAGCTGCTGGGACGATGGGTGTGCCCCCACTGCCCGGCTTTTGTTCAGTTTTCTAAGAAAATGGGAGAAGTGAAGCCAGCCCGGCTCACAGCCCCCAAGGGGAGCTCCCTGGGGGCGGCGCTGCCTTGCAGGCTGGGGGCTCCAATGCACTGAGACTCCTGTGAGGTTGGGTCTAAGTATCTGGCAGGATTCCAGGGATCATAACCGACGGAGGAGGGACTCCAGAAGTGGAGGGCTGGCGCTGAGACCCCACACCTGGGCCCCCCCTGCGCTGCGCTGCTTTCCAGCCCTGGGCCCTGACTGTCTGCCTCCAGACCCTCGAGTGTGGAAGGACACTGGGCCTCCCGTGAGGGCCATCGAGTGGCAGCAGCACTGATGAGACTCCACCTGGAGGCAGTACTTCCCAACAGTGTAACGAAGATGAACTGCAAGCAAGAAATTCAGAGCACTCTGGGGGCTCTGTGCTGCCCTCAGTCTAAGAACCTGTCACGACCAGCGTCAGAGGAAGGGTCGATCCTTACGTGAAACGCTCTGGCCAAGTCCTCTTTGTGGCATTTGCATGCTTCCTTGGGTGGCAGAGCTGGGACCGTCCTCTCTTTTTCGGAGGCTTTCAGCTCACATGGCGCATCCATCTGTGGAAGAGCGGTCACTGTTAGCCAAGGGGGTCTGTGGCACCGAGGCGCCTTTTTAAGCATCGCATGCCCGTGGGAAGTACTGTCCTTGAACAGCTTGAATCTCACACACAGGTCGCCCGTGACCAGCCTCCTACAGAGACGGACAGTGGCCGCCTGAAAGCAGCTAAGTGGGGAGACCACCCTCACGCTGTCCATCACCACAGGAGGGTTTGCTGGGGTGTGAACCCTACAGACAGGGCGACATGTGACAGACAGACTCTTCCATGCCTGGCCTCTTACTCAGGGTCCTTAGTGGGGGTGCTGCCTGATGTTGCAGATAGCCTTGGCTTGCCCATTTCCAAGGGGGCTCAGTGTTGAACCTGGCGAGCAGATCACAACGTCTTTACCATTCCCCCGTGGATGGACAGTCGTGTTGCTTCCAGTCACGGGCTATTACTGGTGCATCTGTTTTTAGCGAACTTATTTAACAGAATAGAACTCGCAAGGCCTCAGAGCAGGGTGTTAATTTTCATATTTAGAACTGGGACCTTGAGCCGATGGGAATCTCAGTCACATAGACACCGCGTTGTAGAGAGTGCCTCCTGCTGACAACAGGTGGTATCACAGCCTGGTTCTATGAGACACTAAAAACAACCCAAGAGAAGAGTCGGGGTTCACAGCCACTCTCTGGGAGTCTGCGTATTCTCTGTGGGGTGCCAAAGGCCTGGGAAGAGACCACAGGGAACACCCGGAGGCTCTGGGTGGCTCTGATAGCACAGAGGGACCTCAGAATCAGGACAGGGTAGGTGGTTCTGCAACACTTCCCGGTATTTGGCCATCCAGGACATGATAGTCATCTCTTCCTCTTCCAGCAGGTTGTTGCAAACTGGGAAGGAGGAAAGGCGGAGGGGTATTGACCAATTTCTTCCTGTAGCTGGGATAGAAGTTGCAAGCGCCTCTTTCCTCCTTGCCAGTCATCTCCTCCCCAACCCCAAACCAGGAAGCGCAGCAGTGAGGACCGGGCTTATTCAACAGGCTCCTGTCTCCTGGGGCTACTTCTCACATCAGCAGCAGGTGCTCCTTGCACATTAAGGGAAGATGAGGGTCACACACTGAGCCAGGCTCCCCAGCTCTCAAGACCTGGTTCTGCTGGGCCAACCGCAGTGCTTGGTTCTTGCCCCCACCATCCTGGGGGGTCCTGGGCCCAGCCCCACCTGTTCTTGGTCTTTCCAGTACTTTCTGGCCATAACTATACCCCGTTCACTTTTCATGCAGTATGCAGAGTGACACTGAATGTCACAGGTGTGCATGTGCACGCACCCCCCGCAGTGCACAACCTCCCGAGTGCACCCCCTCACAGTTGGAAACACGGGACAGACTCCAGTCGCTCTCAGGATAAAACACCCTCTTCGACACGCTGCCACAGACGCCACCTCGCCCTGCCACCTCACCCTGCCACCTCGTACCCATCACGCAGTCTTCTCCCCCGTCGGCCCCTCCCTCAGCTCCTGGCAACCGCGGGTCTATTTTCTGACTGTGAGGATTTAACTGTCTGCACCTCTCATATAAATGGAACCCTGCCCTACGTGACTTCTGGTCTCTGGGTTCCCTTTATGACCCTGAGGTATTATTTGTTTGCAGCAAACAGACTCTGTGGGCAGCTGGGGCTGGTAGAGCAGAGCAGGGCCTTCCTAGGTCCCAAGGGGACAATCTAGGACATGGGGACTCCTCAGAGCAGCTTCACCAGCTCAGAGCTCCCGAGGGAACCACAAAGGACAAAGGCAGCCCTGCGACAGACGGCTGGCTGGACAGCAGCTCGAGCTGTGCGGGGGCCTCCCAGCAAGCAGCCTCCCCTGCCCGGCCTGCTGCCCTCCCACTGCTCAGGGACTGCATGCCCTTGGACACTGACTTACACCCCGGGGAGCTGGGGTGGGCGCTGCTGCAGGGATGTGTTTCCAAATCCTCACACACCCCTGCTTCCTCCTCTGCACAGAGGGGTCACCACGGCACAGAGGCCATGGGATGGGAAATAGTAAACAGGATACCCGAGCCCAGTGCAGGGCACCTAGGAGCCAGAGGTGCTTGAAGGGCCAGGGCCGTGTGGCTCCCAGGAGCCCGGGCTTCTCTCTGCCTCACCTCTCCTTCCAGAACCCAGGAACACTGGGGTGCTGAACAGGGTGGCAGGCTCAGCACACAAGAGCCCAGCAGGCCCCCCGCAGGCCCTGGGGACAGACAGTGTTTTCTGACTCTTTGGCATAAGGTGTGTCAAATACCACACAGGACATGTGTATACTCAAAAGCTAGTTGTCATTTACCTGAAACTCAGATGTGACAGTGTGTCCTGTGTCCATTGGGCCACACAGGTGTGAGCAAGCTGAGAGATGCTCATGACCGTGGTCACAGAATCCAGGGACCTGGGAGATGGAAGGGGGCCAGGGAAAGCTCGGGAGGAGTGAAGGGGGACCTTCTGTCCCAGGAGGAACAGGTGGAGAGGTGCCGAGAAGCAGTCAAGGCCTGGGAGACTCAGGGCCCCTGGCTGGCCAGAGTGCTCGGCCCGGGTTCTGGAAGGAGCGGTGAGGCAGAGAGCAGCCCGGCGCCTGGGAGTCACACGGCCTGGCCCTTCAAGAATTGCTCAATGCTCAGCTGTTAGGTCCATGAACGTGAAGGGGACAGCACAGGGTCATGACGACCAGGAGCAACCGGAGGTTTCGCTGAGCAGGACACCACAGACCTCAGGACAAGTGCACCCACGAGGTACACACCTGCCTTCCTCCAGGCACAGACGTGCCAACTGCACACACCTGCAAATTGCACACACCTGCCAACTGCACACACCTGCCAACTGCCTAGCTTTACGTCACTCTGGCGGTCCTTACGGTGTGGACCTCAGGCCAGCATCACCTAGAACCTTTGAGAAATGCAGCTTTCTGGGCCCCGTCCTGGACCCGATCCTCGCGGGGCTGCAGGTTGGGTTGGCAGCCTGCGTTTTAACGGGTCCTCTGGGCCTTCAGAGCAATCCACAGTTGCCGCATGTCTCTTGTGAAGGTCCACCTGCCATGACCCACGCCAGACCCACTGAGGAGTGGGGAGCGGCCACAGGGTGGGAAAATCCCCCAGGGCACTCCGTGTGTCCTGAGTGCAGGACGCCTGGGCTGAAGTCACACTCAGCCCACCCACTGGGTCCCTTGAGGGCCTCCGTCTTGCAGAGGAGAAAGGGCTGGGCAGCAGGCCAGGGACAGAGAGAAGGGCCCGGGGCCCCAGGAACACCCTGGGGACCAAGCCGGGCGGGGGCCCCTCTGCTTCCTAGAGGCCATGGGTGGGTGACGTCTCCAGGCAGCTGGTGCCCACAGTCCTTCTAGAAGCCGGGCAGATAAGGAAGGAGAAGGCCTGAGGCAGAACAGCAGCCAACTGAAGGTCGTGGCCATAAAACGCCACCCCACCCAGGCCTGCTGACACGAAGGAGGTGACATCGGCCATAAAACGCCACCCCACCCAGGCCTGCTGACACTAAGGAGGTGACATCGGGTGCCAGACCCCCTTGACCACCTGTTTCCCCCTCCCTCAAGGCAGATGCGGGTGTTGCCCACCTCACAGATGAGGAAATGCTGAAGTGGGCACCACAGGGGGCTCCAGCCACTGCTCGAGGAAACGGGAGGAGCCTCTCGGTGGGTTGGGTGTTGTGGAAACGGGAGAAATGGAGGGGGAAACGCCTTCCTGGGTCTTCCACGAGGAGCCAAAGAGGGGGAGACAGGAGACAGGCAGGGAGACAGATAAGCTGAGCTGGACTCTGGGCCCCTCCCACCCCAAAGCCCAGGCACAGCAACCCGGACCCTGGGAACGTGTCGCCTCGCGTGAGAAAAGGACTCTTGATGAAATCGAGGACCTTGGGAAGGGAGAGGGTCCTGGCTTGGGGCAGTGTCACCACGAGGTCCTGGGGAGAGGAGGGTCAGGGAGAAGCTGCAGAAGGCAGGAGCCAGGTCCCTCGGGGGACCCGCCCCGCCCACACCTCTTGTCAGCCCTGGGGACCCACGCCGGACCTCATCCTCCAGAGCAGCACTTGGGTGCTGTCTTAAGCCACTGAAGTTGTGGCGCTGCTACAGCAGCAACGGAAAACCACCCTGTCCGCCCCGGAAGGAACCGGCTCTCTGAGCCCCGGGCTCCGTGCCTCCCCAGCCCACCATGCTGCCCTCCTGCCTGCTGACCTCCTCAGAGGTGCCTGACACTGGGACTTCTGTCAACGGGGTCTGCTCTGCTGCCTTGGAAGTCCGTGCAAGCGTCAGACTCGTGCTCTTGAACTGGCTTCTCTTGCTGAACGTGGTCCTGGCGAGACCCACCGGGTGGAGCCATTAAAGGCTCATTCCTTCTCTGCTGTCATCAGGGTCCCACGCCTCCCGCTGCACAGGCACACCGCAGTTTATCGAGTGGTTTGTGTGTGGTTGGCACAGAGGTCATGTCCAGCTTGGGCTGTGACAGCCCACAGCCATGACCCTTCCCAGGAGAACGTTCTGGTGCATATAACCCCGGGGACATTCCCGGCTCGGCACTGCTGGGCCACAGGGCAGGCAGGGTCCAGTGTCAGTGGATACTGCCAGGCCCGTTTCCCAAGTGTGGAACCATGACCGGAGGTGGAGAGGGGAGAAGCAGCCCCAGGACACCGCGAGTACACTGGCCTGTGCAGAGCAGCAGGCCAAGGCCTATACAGGCCGACCTTGGGCGGAATCCACAGGACGCTGCGACTCGGGCTGTCTCTGGGCTCGAGGCTGGGTGGTCGAGGGCAGAGACTGGAGGACACTGTTCCGTGCCTTCTTCTTCTTTTATTCTTATGTATTTTTAGATGTTGATGGACCTTTACTTCATTCATTTATCTATAGGTGGTGCTGAGGCTCGAACCCAGGGCCTCCCACCTGCTAGGCTAGCGCTCCACCACTGAGCCCCGGCCCCAGCCCCATGTTTTGTGCCTTCTTGAACCCAAACCACAAGTGTGAACTGCCGATTCCAAGGGGGAAAACCAGTTCTGT